TTTCAACGAGGACAAATGTCTAATCCAAAATAGCGATGGAGAAACCTTGGGTTTAGGAAGGAAGACAGAAAGTTGTTTATTCTTGACTGTCTACCAATGAATGAATTAGCACATGAAGCTAACAGTGCAGCTGATTCCTTGCAACTATGGCATCAGAGATTTGGCCATTTAGGAGTGAAGAATTTGAAACGTTACAAGATGAGGAACTAGTCGAGGGACTAAAGTTCAATGATTCAGAAGATATGCAATTTTGTGAGGCCTGTGTCGAGGGAAAACAAACACGAAACTCATTTCCTAAAGGTCAAGCTACACATGCTACTAAGCTACTAGAGATTGTGCACAGTGATGTTTGTGGACCAATGCAAACAACCAGTCTGGGTGGACATCGATATTTTGTTACCTTCATCGATGATAAATCAAGATTTACTGCAATATACTTCGTAAAAAAGAAAGATGAAGCTCTTTAAAAGTTCAAAGAGTTTGAAGTCATGGCAACAAATATCACTGGACAGAGAATCAAAAATCTACGATCAGATAATGGTGGGGAGTATAGTTCCAAGGAATTTAATGATTTCTTGATACTCAAAGGTATTTCAAAGCAGAGAAGTGTCCCAAGAACACCAGAACAGAATGGGGTTGCAGAGAGAATGAACAGAACCATTCAAGAGACTGCAAGGTCAATGCTGCATGCTGCTAAATTACCAAATGAGAAGCAGTTGCAAAAGCAGTCATTTTGAGGAATCGTAGTCCCACTAAAGCAGTGAAGGACATGACTTCATATGTAACGATCTGGGTTCTTGTCATGACGGTGAAGAACCAGTTGATAACCAAACTCGTTAATGGAGCGATGGGCTAGGCCAACGGGCCTAAACCCCAAATAGATAGCACACAAGAGATACTCGTTCTCTGATGTTATGTTTATCGTCAAAACAGTAAGACTAAATTATTCTAAGTTGGATTACATTATATTAAAACCCAAACAAAGGAACACTGTGAAACATCACACAACACGATGACAGTGACGCACATTTCCCGGAAAGGGAGTTACTAACACAACAGCGCGACAAACAAACATGTGACATTAACACGCAACAAAATGGAAGATCTAGCTGAACATAATAATAATAATTACTGAAGTTTAATAATGTTAAAACGTTACACATATGAAAGTTTTTATGGAAGAAAACCTGATGTTGCACATGTGAAAGTATTTGGATGTGATGCTTACATGCACATTCCAAAAGAGCTCACAAAGAAATTTGATTCAAGATCTAGAAAGTGCATCTTTGTTGGGTACAGCCTTTATAGAAAGGCGTATCGTCGATTTGATCCAAAAACAAGGAAATTTTACGAATCTAGAGATGTTGTTTTTGTTGAAAATGGGTTTATAGGGTGGAATTCAACATCAAACAGTGGAAACAAACAAGATAGATTCTACTGTTAAACCAGTTTTCAAATCTGATGAAGAATAACTAGAAACTAAGTATGATGAAAGAGTTGCAGACCTTGAAACAGATAATGAAAACAATCGAAATGCGGAAAGTCAAGATGCTGAAGACTTGCAAGAGCCTAGACGCTCAAACCGTACAAGAAAGCCTCCAGAAAGAGATGGTTTCATTACTGGTGATTGGTGGGAATTTGAAGAGTCTTTAAATGCTTATACTTATGAGAATACTGAAGAACCTACAACAATTCAAGAAGCATTGAATTCATCTGCAAAAGTAAAGTGGAAAGAAGCTCTTGATAGTGAATACACATCACTTATCAAGAACAGAGCTCGGAATCGGGTTCAAAACAATGGATGCATACATGAAGAATAACGACTACGAGCAATATCAAGCTGATTCTTGTTTGTATGTCAAGCGTGTGGGAGCAGAATTTATAATCATTGCTTTGTATGTCGATGATATGCTGTTAGCTTGTAGCAGCAAGGAGCTATTGCAAAAAGAGAAAGAAGCATTGCAAAAATGGTTTTGCATGAAAAATCTGGGTGAAGGACGTAACAGAGCTGAAAAAAGGATGTTGCTGCATCAAAGCATATATCTTTCAAATTTGCTACGGAAATATGAAGTATTAACACCACAAGTGACAGGTTCGACACTACTTGCAAATGAAGGCGATCCTGTTGATAAGCAGAGATATCAAGCCCTTATTGGAAGACTTACTTATGCAGTTACAGCAACAAGACCAGACATTGCACAAGCTCTTGGATCTGTCAATCAATTTAGTTCTAACCCAGGTGGAGAACATTGGCAAAGTGTCAAACGTATCTTACGTTACATTAAAGGTACACTAGACTGGGGAATTCAATTTGATGGTTCAAAAGAAGAGGGAGTACAACTTAGTGGATTTGTTGATGCAGACTGGGGAGGTAATGTAAATGGACGTAAATCTCAGTCTGGCTACATGTTTACAATCTGTGGTGGAGTTGTCAGTTGGGCAAGCAAGAAGCAAACCAGCGTAGCTCTCTCCTCAACCGAAGCAGAATACGTTGCAGCCTGTCTAGCTACCCAGGAGGCAGCATGGCTTCGCTCACTACTTGCTGACTTGAATTTTTCTCAAGAAGAGCCTACAGTTGTTCAGGAAGACAATCAAGGAGCAATCGCGATGTCTAAAAATCCGAAGTTTCATGCTAGAACAAAACACATTGACATCAAGCACCATTTCATCAGAGAAAAAGTGGAGAATGGTGAGTTAATTTTAAAGTTCTGTCCTACTAACGATATGATTGCTGATATGCTCACTAAGGCACTACCGAGAACACTGTTTGAAAAATTTCGAATGATGATGAACATAGCAAACAGAGTCTGAGCAGAGACTCATGAAGAATCTTTTTTTTAATTGTTATAATATATTTTTTGAGTGGGAGTGTTAGAATATACAAAAATAGAGCTATTGTTTAGTTACTAACAATGACGTTTACTTCCGCTTTTATTGCACGCTTTCATGCTGTCAGCTGTAAGAATTTACTTCGTCTAAGTTTTCGTTCAAGTTGTAATCGCCGTTGATGAATTTATCTTAAATCACTTGTTTCTGTGCGTAAAACTCCTGATTTTAACACTTCTGACACACTTAATCTCTATTGTTCATACCCTGGGTACCAGACTCACTATATAAAATAATAGAGAGTCTGGTCTAGTGCGCCCCATTCTCGTTCTGGTGAACTTACTTGAAAGAACTGAAGTCTATTTAACAGACTAGGCCTGTGAAACAAGACTGTCAGATAAATAACAATGAAACTCAGTAGTCAGAGGAGTTTTGGGAAATCTTGAAGCAAATGTGTTTTATTTTTTTCTTTAACGTCGACATTTTTTATACAGTGGTAATAGACTTTTCTGCCTCAAGATAACAATCAAATCAGGTTTAAAACGCCATTTGGCAGCAAAAACATGTGCGAAGCATGAAATTAAAGTTAGCACAATGCAGTTATTAAATGTTAATCATTATCAAATTTCGTATGCAACTTAAAATAAGTCTCTTGTAATTTTCCTCATAAATTGTGTGTACTTTCAACGTCTACTTCCTAACTGTGAAGGCAGCGCGCTTGGACACCGCGGCGGTTAGAATCATCACGTTGGAAGGTCACCACAGCAAATATGGGCAATATGACAAGCGAAGCCCCGTATGCCGGGCGAAATATCAGCTATAACTGATTTACTGTGTTTGTTGTTGTTTGTTCTCGGCGCCTTGCAGTGTTTCTTATCTACTGCATTTCACTACAAGGCCTAATTTCTTTGCAACGAGAGGCACAGCCTGGAATATCAGAGACTTTCCAAAGCCAGTTGGCAATATGGCGAAGGTGTCTCTTCCCTCTGCAAACAAGGCGTTCAATGCTGTTCTGTGTTCAGTTCCACAACATGCGGAAAATATTCTTTGAGTACAGTTTTAACAGCATCTTTAAACTCAATCGTTACGGTCGCTAGCATTTATTTATGTTCAGTTCTGTTCAATGTTTTATACCAGAGCTAAGTTTATTGTTTCGCTGTGACCTTTGAACGTACAGAAATCTGTACACTCGCTCCTGATTGGTTAATATCGGCACACCAGAACGAGAACGGGGCGCACTAGACCAGACTCTCTATTTTATTTCATATATAGTGAGTCTGGTACCCAGGGTATATTGTTCATAGAGAAAAGGGATTAAGCTTGTTAGTAAACAAATGCTGATTTTTCAGTGCGGCCACCCAAATTGCCACTGAACCAAATTCACTAATCCCTCAAAGGCTCCGTCGTCCTGCCCCAGAGCAGCACGAGCTCTGGAAAACGGAAATGATTAGCAATTAACGCATTTTCCTGGTGCCACGCACTACCCAAAGTTAAATCGTTCTTTGTTTTAAAGCACATTACATTAGCCTAACAGCAAACAACCCCTTTACACACGAACTGCAGCGCGCTCAAATTTTCAAGCGAAAATGAGATTATCTTTGTCAAACTTGAAAAAGAATTCTCGATTTTCCACTTTAACGAAGATAATTAGTTTTATGTCAAAAATCAATGCGTCTAGGGCCTATTACTCTCGGTCGTTATCCGACGTTTCTACTCTGGAGTGTCGGATGAAGTGCTATAGTATGCTATGTTTCCGGTATTTCGTGCAATCTTCAAGTTTTCCGGTACCGAAAAGAAACAAAATAAAAGGCTTGATCTCTAAACAGGTTTTTCCCTCTGTTTCAAGCCCTCATTCTTGATACTGATAAGGAAAAATACCTTGAATCATTAAAAAGTTTGTTACAATGATAGCATGGGATATTTGCTCTTGATGATGAATAATTTACAACCAAACCTGCGTATTTAGTTAATCCTGTGTAATCTTCTGTTCTTGCTTCAAAGAAACAAGACAGTTTGTTTCCTTTCATAGCAATCTTTTCAAAATATCAAAAGATTCGAGGTGAAAGGAAGGGAACGTGCTGTTGCAGCGTCTCTTTTTCACATGGCAAGATAGACAAAATTCAAATAGGTATTTGAATTTTCCCAAGGTAAGCCTTTTCTTAATAACTCAATTGCTAAGTTGATATTCTAAGTACAATAAATTGTGAATTAAGCGATCTTATGATTTAAAAGTCAAACGATCCAACATTTCACCCAACATTTCGCATTCAAACATAAAAGAAAAATGTTGGGCGAAATGTTGGGTGAAATGTTGGATCGTTTGACCAGGGGGCTTTACTTGGAGAAATTGTAGTGACCATGGTATTATTGACCTATCGTTTTATATGTATACGCCATGTATTGTAGTTTAGTCAGTAAATTCACCAAAACGCAACTGTCACACAATATCGCTTCTTGCTGGCTCCATGTTATCTGTACGTTAAACAAGATCACATAAAACAATGGAACGCTACAAAAGTGTTGTTGATTACGTTACTGTGGGTAGGGAGACAATCAAAGGTGTTAATGATTATGATACAATAGACGAAATGATGTAAAAACCCACGTGTAAGAACCTACTTTTTTCAGAGTTTGGCAAAACAGGGTCTTGTATTACGGGGTACCTAATGACAGTTTAGGCTAGATAGGCTCTTAGTTAGGTTCTTAAATTCTACAGAGAAGATATTGTTTCCGATTATCAGAGTAAAGCATTAAATATGTTCTGTTCTTCATTCTAAATATTCATTATTGTACCAATGTTGCCAAAAGCCCACTAACAATTGACCAATGATACAGTATTGTAAATAGAATAATAGCAATAATTTTTTCATAAAAACAGCTCAAATTTAACATACATATTTAAACTGAATGGTTAAACCCCACATATAAGAGCCTGTAGGACATTTTTTGGCAAAACAGGTCCTCATATTCTGGAGATTTCTGCCAGAAGGTTCATAAATCCTTAGATTCTTACACGCGGGTTTCAACTGCAGTGGGAGATACGTTTCAACAAATCTTAGATACTTCTTCTACCTTATGTTGTCGATGCATGAAGGACTATAAAGATGATTATTTTTATTTGTTGAGACATTGTATTTGTTCTTTGCTTTCAACAGCATAAGCTAATTAAACACAGCTTGGTTTATGTTTGTGCAATTTCATTCCCGACATTGGTTTGCATCATCAACTTAAAATCGGAGATTAATGTCTTGACCTTGAGTGAATGTGAAAATCTCTTACGGATCAACCATGAGTAATATTGCTAAAAAATTGTATTTTTGTTTGTTTTTGCTAATCATTTATCGAAAAAACCGATAACCGGCAGCAATTATCTCCAAATGTAGATCAGTCATTCAAAGCATCTCAACTATGGAGCTGAAAGGAGCGAAGGTCGTATTTCTATACGTAATTTTCCGTCATATATCCAAGATGTTCGCTGCTGGGCCAGGTAAGCATAGATCATTGCACCATGTTGTACCCAGGGTATATGTTTCGTTGTTTTCCAGTTTCTATATCAAGTAAGCCTGTATATCACCTTATCCTCATCCAATTGCTTGATTGTGTTGTAATCAACTGTTAGAAATAGTTATTGCATACGCCTGTCATGACAATCACCTACGGCTGTAATATGACAAAACTAGAGATGCTGGATATAGATCATCCGCAGGATTTTGATATAGCCCTGATTATCAGCGTAAATAATTAGCAAATCTATTTCTAAGTTTTTGATCTTTCAAATTAGATTTAATTCACAGTGGATTGCTCCTCGGACCTGCTTATGGCGCTTTATAAAAACTTAATTTGGCAGTAGATCCCCGTCTCAAGCAATATCAAGCCTAAGCAATATCATGTCCCAAGCAATATGATGTCCTAAGCAATATTAAACCCTAAGCAAAATCAAACCTGGCGTTAACAAGCCTAAGCAATATCAAGCCTAAACAAAATCAAACTCTATGCATTAGTATATCATACCCTGGCGTTATTAAGCCCAAGCAGTATAAGACCTAAGCACCATCTAACCTATGCGTTAACAACCCAAAGCAATATCAAGCCTAAGCAATATCAAGCCTAAGCAATATCAAGCCTAAGCAATATCAAGCCTAATCAATATCAAGACCTAAGCAATATCAGACCCTATGCATTGTTATATCATACCTGGGTGTTATCAAGCCCAAGCAGTATAAGACCTAAGCATCATCAAACCTAGGCGTTAAAAAGCCTAAGCAATATCAAGCCTCGGCAATATCAAACCCTAAGCAAAATCACACATAAGCAAGATTGCCATGCTTTCATGATAGCTTTCCTCCCCCTAGCCCCCTCCCGGCTTCGGCATGTCTGTTTTTAAAATGTCTAAAGAGAACCTGATGATTTTCATTGTAGCAAGTAAATAATTCCTCAGCAACTAATAATTAACCAATGTCAAATTTGAAAAAGTCAATGTAGACGTAGAATAAGACTTTCTACCCTTTTCAAGATTTCTACAAACTTGGCAATGGCTTTTTGGCCGAGGGCTGGTTGTCATCAAAAAAGTACAGTTTTGAGAGTTTTACGAATATTCCGGACTTTCCTGGCTGTCCGTCAAAAGCAATCAACGGTGCGGATTTTGAGATTGAGCCCATAATGCAAACCGGGTATCAATATTGGCGTTACCGAGCGATCTTCACCTCATCCCAGACAGGAAAACATAAATTCTTTGCTTTATGCAGCACAGAATGCCAGATTTTCATTCAAAATGGCAAGCAGGGAACAAAGAAAGTCTTAGAGGTGAATGCTACCACTGCAAACGATTGGGCGGATCGGTAAGCCGTATCTTAACTTGACATAGGATTAAATTCAAAAAAAGTTTATTTAGAAAAGAAGCGGCATCAAAGTAGTCAAAGAGGAACTTAAAAAAATAAATTGTTAAAGCTATTGATTAAAGCAAAAACGCTTGTTCAAGAAGAATTTCTTCTTTGATCAAAGTATTGATAACCAAGGTATTTGATGCTTTATCCAATCACGGTTGTTATCACATTTATCAACCGAAGCAGGCAATCCTTCGGTTCAAGCCCAGCGCATAAGGCAGACTTTTGTCTTCGGAAGACGAAGATTTTATTCTTTAGCATTCCAAAGACAGAAATCAGCCGCATGTTCTTGTCCAAGACAAAGATTTTTGTCTTTCAAAGAAAGTCTTCGATATTAACCATGTTTAATTTTCGGAGACGGCCTTTGAAAGCAAAGACAAAGTCTGCCGTGTGCGGACCCGAAAGACAAAAATCTTTCAAAGACAGATTGAGTGGCCAATGAGCGACTAAGTTTTGATCACATCGAGATGTTCTCTTGAAAATTCCCGCCAAGCAATTTCATTTCTTTGTATCAAAGATGAAAATCTGCCGTGTGCGGGTTACTCGAAGACAATAGTTTTCCTCTTTCAAAGACAAAATTTTACCGTATGCGGCGGGCTTAAGATGATCGATTTTAAATAAGTCCTCAACATTTAAGAACACACTCAATTTGCCAGATACCATATACTGGAACATGGAATCATGACATAAAACTACACCATCTTGTTATGTATCTTGAAGTATTCAGTAAAAAAAAACAACACATAAAACAATATGTAATAAAGTAATTCAAACATGAAGGCCCTATTTATCTTTGTCATTGCCCTAAAGCAGTTACAGCTGTTACGGCTGTTTCCTTTTTGTATAAATGTAAATGGATGCATGATAATCAAATATTCTATATTGCGTTGACTTAGTTGATACTATACTATTTCAAACATTTTGTCAAAAGTATCATTGTTTATTAAGCTAGATTTGGAGCTCAATGAAAATCTTCTATTATTGATGACGAAAAAACAATAAATTTTCCTAAGGTGATTTTCTGCGCAATAAGAGAGTCATATTTTCAATGCAATTTATTACACTCAAAATATTTCGGCTTTCTATCATAGATATATTGCTTTACTAAAACGCATAATCTTGGGGATAAGTCACTAGAAAACAAAGCGTCATTTTTTTCTATCATCGAAATTTTAAGAGCTTCCAGTGCACAAGATCAACATTCTGATTTGAAAGTGCACAATAATTAAACATGAAAGAATATCTCATTCAAAATAGATCAAATAACCTTTCTTAACCGTAGACTTTCAAATTTTGAAGATAAAAAACTTAAACTTAGCTTGAAGATAAAACAAATTATTATTTAGAAAATGGTCAGATGAAGTGATTCTGCTTGAAGGATTTCGTTATGAGATTTTGGTTCACCATTTTGGGGCACAGAGCAGTATGACGTTCTTCAAACTTGGAGTGAAGTTCCCGGATCTAACAGAACAGAAACCCATCAATAGTACAAACTTACGAAGATCTATGGGTAAGCTGTTTTTCACGGTAACATTATTGCAAATACTTATCTTGCGTCTAAACAGTGGCGTTTCTACGGGGGGATGCCACGCCCCTCATATAAATTTTTTTTGCCCTTGTTTGGCCCCCAGTTTTTTCAAAAGTTTCTATTAAAAGTTCAATGTTTTCTTCCAAAGCTGTTCAATCGTTTTTTGACATTGTTAGAGTTGCTTTCTTTATTTTGCTCAATGCAGTCTTTATTGCATGTATTTAAATATCTACAATCGTCCACAAAAATTGTGAGACTGCTTTTCCTTCCCACCACACAACAATGCAAACGTCCCGTTTGGTATATTTTGCTCAAAAGAAAACCTATCGAATTTATTGTGTAAACCATTCGTAATTTTGACTTTCTTGTTGCTCAATCCTTCCACCAATCGTTTTGGTTTGTAACTGAGGTGAACGTTAAGAAAAATTTTGGCTCCTTTCTGCAGTTACTAAGAAAAATTTATTCTTGGCAATCATGTAAATTCAATATTTGTTATATATTATCACGAAGATACACCTTCTTGGGGTGGGGTGCGCAGGGTAAGCCTAAACCAAGATTCTCCATATCCCATTGAAATCCCTTTTCGCTCTGGAACCCAGCGCAGGAAAATACCAATGTTCTCCCAGTATACCTTGGCAATCTACTATTTCTTATCGAATTTCTATGATTTGAAATTCTGTGTAGCAGAATGATTTGCCTGATCCCATGGAGATTGGGTATAAGACATAACTACTATGGGACAATTTCACCAATCGACTTCACAAAGCTATTAGCCTTAACTTTTAGAAGTATAGTTCTTCTTTTGAAATTTTAATGTTCATGCATTATTGTTAAACAGATAAAACTCAGTGGAGTAACGGCCCAAAGTTACCTTTCGTTAAATAACAAAGGGTCCCGAACCTTTAGGGGCCTCCTGCAACAATTTTTCATTGTTATTTTTCTAAAGGATGCTGCTGCTCGTTGCACCACTAATAAAACTATTTGGCATAATAATAACAGCCTTGATAGAGCTGTACATACTAGTTCGCAAAGTGATAGCTAGCGTTGGCCCCTATAACAGAAAGCAGGCCCCCGGCTAGCCTCCCCCCCCCTAGATTTTAAGGCATGATTCGCCACTTCAACTAAATGCCCGAATTCAATGTAAACGTAGCCACTTCTAGGCCTAACAATAGGACTTAACCGTTGGCGTCTTGTTTCCACTTGGTCGCTGCCTTTCATTTTGTGCGCTAAGAGGCGTTAGTAACACATCAGTAACAGAATTTGTTTTTGTTTTCAGCAAGAAATGTCTATTTTTCTTCTCAACTTAAGAATTTGTCTGGTAAAAGCTGTTGATAGCTAAGATTCACGATGGAATTTTGTACGTTTTCGATCAACTCTCCAACCGGCTTTTGTAACCAGTTTATTTCCACAACCATACATAGACGATTTATTTATTTTTCAAGTGCTGATAGTAGAAAGCATATCGAATTGTGTACTTGCAGCAAACTTCACGGTTCTCCCATAAATGGCAGAACTCAAATGCTAAGCGACTGCACTATCATTAAACGTCAGATTAGCAAGCTTTTCTTCAACAGAATGAAAATTTTCAACCGCCATAGGTCAGATTACATTGATGCTGTAGTATATTTGCAAGATCTTTGCGATAGGGCATCAGATTTGAAAAATTCAAAGGCTGAAATTCAGCTGACCGTGCATTTTTCTGACTTTGCCAGAATGCTCCCCAGGCTTAAAATGATAATTGTCTATTTCTTTTATGATTTGAATTTTAAACATTTGGGTTAGGCAGGGTACTAGATGGTTATGCAAATTCCCTTTTTATAACGATAAATCTTGCAGAAGAAGTCGACCTGAAAAGTTTGAAAAAGCTTTCAAATAGGGATGTTTGTTTACTGACATTCAAAAAGTTGGTAAAAGCCCCCCCCCCCCTCTTGTTAGAGCCAACTTTGAATCAGCCCATTCTAGTAATGTTCCTTAGTAATAGGCTTCTAAGATACATTCCGAATTTTAAAGCATTCGTCATCATCATCAGTACCATTTTCTATTAGGTACCCTCTACCATCTTCTACCATGACCCTCCATTACACTCTTTTAGAACTTCCAAAGCTGTCACACCCGCTCCCCCCCTTGACATCATCTCCCCAAGTTCTTCGCTGCCTTCCTCGATCCCTCTTACCTTCTTTCACTCCTCCCAGAGTGAATCTATGTAAAAATCTTGATAAACCTCTCGACACATGCCCTGCAAACCACCAGATCAAGCACTTTTTCATTTGAAGTTGGTTCTTTCTAGCTTTCTAGCTTTCTAGCTCAAAGGCCTGAAGTTTTTCTTATATAGTTTTGCTGAAGGTCCAAGCTTGCTTCCTTATCTAACTACTGTAAAAATGCAGGTTTTTAACAATCTTAGTTTTAGATTGATATTGATGTTGCTTCTCAAAAATTAATTTAACTTCCAGAAATACCTTGTCGCTTTTCCAATTCTTCTTCATACTTCTCTTCACATTTTCCATTGTCAACCATCCAACTTCCTAGATATTTATTCATTACAGTATTATCCTTAATAAAACACAATCTGTAAAGTGAAGATATTTTCAATAAGCCAAAATGTTTTATGTTTTTTGTGTCAAGGCAAACCATTTGTTTTAGAACATTACAAATGGGATGGATTACTGGCTCAAAGATACACCATTGAACATATCAAAGTTGGACAACCGGACGCAATTGATTATGTGTACAGCAATAATCCGAGCTACCCGGGCAGCCCTACAGCATTTGGATGCAAATCAACTTTATTTGATAGTGCAACCTCTTCAAATGGTGATAAATTTGCTATCCTCTACACTGGCTACGTGAAAGTACCATTTTCAGCTTTTTACAGCTTTACAATTCATCTTTGCGATGATTTATGTGATCTTTTTATGACGAAAAACAACTTAGAGACCAGTATTGTCAGGTATATAATTGACTGGTAAGCAAAAATTTTTCTTTTTCTGGTTCACAAACTGTGACAATTATAGCATATCGTTTTCATTCCGATTTTTGCTTGACATTTGCTACAAGAGCAAAGTCAGCTATCCCCCTTCTCCCCTTTGAACAATGTTGGTTCACAAAAGCGACGTAAGGGATTAGGAAGTACGTTTCTTCCTACCACATTTTTGATATTTTTTCTAAATTATCAAAACTTTTTAGGGGGCAAGGGAATGCGGAAGTAGGAGTATTTGGAAAAAGAATTGCAAAATATAAAAACGCAATGCATATTGCTAGGTGTTCCAAGTACTTTTGGCAATGATTGTAGCTCTGTTTTTCCATTTGTCATCTTTGCAATTGTGTCGATTTTACATTTGCTCATATTGAAAAATTACGTTTTTTACAAAGCAAAATAAGACGAGAAATCAAACTCCAGTTCGTAATTTCGTCCTTTAAATGCAACCAGCAATAACAAAACCATGTCTTGATGCGACGACAACGTCGGCTCGACTGGACTAATGATATATATTTTTAACAACCTGACGCACTCAAACCATAATGACACAAATTAAGGCAAATGGACATGGCACGAAAACAACCAAACTGGACTGATGCAAACAGGGACAAAGCCAATACTGTTGTTTGGAGGGTTGAAGAGTTGACTTTTGCCGACAAAAAGGGCAAAAAAAAATTTCTCACTCTTTAAAGGTGTGGTCAAAAGATTAGTACTCTTACATGCTATCTTTATGCGTTTCTGTTTCAAAGTTAATACTCTAGTGCCATACTTTGAAAGTTCAACTACACAGAAATGTTAATATGTTACAGTTGTTGCAAAAATGTTACACAGTGACTACAAAATGCCATCATTTTTCCGGCAAAAATCCTTAATGTGCCGATGAAGAAAATGTGGGGGGGGGGGGGTATTGCATTTGGCGACCCCCTGAATGCAAACATTGAAAGACATCCTTATTAACAAACCACAAACACGATGCACAAAACTAGTTGACTAGAAAACAATAGTACTGCTTTCTTGTATAAGTTTCAAATCTTTGCATAACTTCAACTAGCTTTAATAAAATTGTCTTTGAAAGAATTGATCAGAAGCTTCGTATGAAATACCGTTAAGAGACAGCCAAAAATACTATTAGACGTGACGGTACCATAAAATTGCTTCTATTTGTGCTTGTCACTGTTTATAGAGCATCCTTTCCATCCTAAAGATCTATATGACGGTTAAGTGTAGTAAAGGAATGGTATTACAGAAAGTCCAACGCTTTAACCCTAAGCCTTGAGAATTCGTGCCAACTTGAAATTATTTCATTCTTTTCGTCAGCTTTTAATGACGTATCATACACCTGGCCATTAAAAACTCACAATATTTATTCGCTATTTCATTTATTATATCTTCACTTTTATGTTGTTTATTATCCATATTTCGGTGCATATCGCTGTTGCATTAGGTATTTTGCATGTTTCAGTGGCAATGAATGAGCCATTGAGCACAACAAAAATGACGTTTTTACCCCTTCTTCAAATTTAGGAACAAAAGTCCAGTTATTTCCAATGCTAGCATGTTATCAGCCAATACCCTCTATCCAATCAAACTGTTCTTTGGTGAGCAATCACAGGTTGAAATCATCCAAATAAAGTATACATATCTGAACAATAGTTTTTTGTCATGGAGTGGAATGCTTTACAATCTTAAAACAGGTATGAAGTTCTCAAGCAATGAACTCGCAATGCGTGTTGCTAGAGTTCGTATTTTTCTATGCCACCTATTATACGAGAACATGTGTAAAGTTGACTTCTCTTACCAATGATCAAAATTAAGCCATTACATTTACTGTTCTTTTAAACCAAAACTAGTCAAGGCAGATAGATATATTATGTAAATATTGCAAAATAAAAGATATGCTAGCGTTATGGGAGTTGAAATTGTAGCAAACATTATTTCAAAGTTTTTGGTGTCCAGAATGATGTTTAATAACCAGTCGGGAGTGAGAAACGTCTTAACCACTTTTTAAATTCTCCCACCTTTTTATTTGATGTTTAGAAAAAGCAAAGTGATTTTGTCATTAAAGTCGTTGCGTGCATTGTTAGCCGCTATGTTCTAGTTTTTTATCAAAATGGAATTAAAAGAAGTGTAAGGATATAATTCAAAAAGGTCTGATTACTGTAGTTTGATTAATTATTGTTTTCTCTTTTCAACCCTGCAGAAAGAAACAGGCAAAAAGCATTCCCTCCTGCAATATCATTGAGCGGTTCAAACGGCTGTGTTAGTTGAATTTCTGTCCCAAGCTGTATTCTCTAAGAAAGATAGCTGGACGTACGCATCAAAGCTAGAGCTGCTTTTCACAGACAAGGGTACGAAAACAGAGACGAGGAAGATACTTTTGGCTAGAGATTCATCCATTCAGCTATTTGTAACGGACTAATCAATCTACCACATAACTTTTTTACGTGCACTAACTTCGGTTTAATTGACAAAGAGACCAGAACTTGATTTCGAGAAAAGCTGTCATAACAACATTTCACAAGTATGTAATGTTTTTTCTTATGGGTTGTTTACTTTCATATATGATTGATAGATCATTAAATTACTGTTCACTCATATGTTTTACAGTGCTCAATGCTTTAGGGGCAAATGTCCCGACGCATTTCGCTGGCCAGTTAAATTCCCATTGGTTTAACTAGACAATAGACCTATTGTAACGTATCCAATTGGTTAATCGTCAATGTTTTCTCGATTTTAAACACGTGATAATAATAGCAATAATAATAATAATAATAATAATAATAATAAATAACTTGTTTAAAGTTGGCGTACTAAATGAACGTCTAAACGCTATGAAGAAGCTAATCGAGGCCAACTATCTATGAAGAATTAGTATAAAATAAATATATTGTACAATGTTAAAAGTGTCTAAGGTATAATATTCTAAATAAAACCTAACCCAGCAAAAAATATTTTACATAATATACAGTCGCATTCTACAGGGTGTGCTCTAAATTCTTTTTTTAATGTTGCCAATGTATGGGACTCTCTTATACTGTGAGCAGGCCTTATTTTAAGGCTCAGTGATAACCAATTTGTGCAATGATAAATCCACAACGTGCCATGATAAATGGAAAATTGTTCAGTGATAAATTAGTTGAAACAGCAACATAAAGAATTCATACGACAAAAAGTGACAAAAAATAAACAAACAGAACATAACGGTAATAGTATGAAAAGCGAAGCAAAGAAATCAACAGTTTCTGGTGTATAATAGTTCACAGTTACTATGTTTTGAAAACGTTTTCTCATATTCTTTTCTGCGTCTTTTCTCTCCCTTTCTTCGATCATTTCACTGCTCCAAAATACTTCATATGGACTTGATTGAGGCAGTATTCCCTTCATGCGGAGGGGAAAAAGAAGAGTCATAATGGTATTAAAAACATTCAATCAAATTTAGCGGCACGTGAGAGCACTTTGCTGAGTGTCATTTTCTGCTAGTGGGTTGGTTACTCAGGAATATTCTGCTAGTGGGTTGGCGATATGTGTATTTCTTGTGCTTTTATATCATCGTACAGAAAGAGAATTTTCAGGGTCTTAAGCCATTTTAAGGCCTCAGAGATGGCAAAATCTTATGAGCTTCCGGGGGCCCTGCCCCCTGGACTCACTGGAAGGATTACAGCTCCCCCAGACCCCGGTTATTGCATGCGTGCCTCTGACACGCACTTTGCACAGCCTACCTCTAGAGGTAATCTTTTTATAAAACCACCCTGATTGTGCAGTGATAAAATTTCCTTAAAATAAGGCCTGGCTGTGAGGTAGTGTTTGCCCCAGTTTTTGACCTAAATATCTCAGAGTTTCTTTACCATAAGAAGTTGTCCTGGCTTTCGGAATGCAAAGATTATTTTTAGTTCGCAAATCATAATGTACATTTCTTGTTTCAAAAATCTCACTCATGAAACTAGGGTTCAGGTTATGTTTGGTTTTGTATATTTCTATTATCAAGTTCTGTAGATTGTGTTGGTGAATTGATACTGCATTATCCAATGTCAGCAATGCTTCGTAGTCAGCATGACTGTCTTTATAAATAATTCTGAGTGCTCTTTCGGGATTTTATTCACTTTAGCATTCAGACATTCAAGGGGTCAATTAGGGGGCAGAAGCTAAACTGAGCTGTTCATTAGGAGACGCAGTTTATCAGAACCCATAAATGGTGATACTCTAGCAAGAGCATGCAGTTTTTGACTGGCTCTTTTGCATAAATTTGAGACGTGACTTTTGGAACTAAGATTTTTATCCATTATCACCCCTAGTAGTTTTTTTCAGAGCTTTCTTCAACAATGGCCTCGCTGATTTTGATCTTAATGTCATCTTAGTTTGTTCCAAAAGTAAGAAGATGACAAAGCCTTCTGTTACATTGCAAAGCCTTTAAATTTGAAACTTGAAGCTTCTGCTGAACTTTTTTTGTACTTATGTACATTTTAGTATACCTTACTTATTTACATATTTAAAGCATATTTAAAATCCTATATACAAAAGATTTTTATGCATTTTTCAGAACAACCCCCAAATAATCCGACTATCTTGACAACTCTCTCAGTAAATATACTTGTTTTTGTTCATTCTGTAGTAAACAATATCGTCGAAGAGACTCCAGTTGCATTTTTCACGAACATTTTGTTTTCTGGAAAGGCACTTCAGAGCCATATTGTAGAGACCCTTGCCGTGACGTCAGTTGAGCAATGTTTCTCACGCTGCCTTGAATGTCTCCAGCGTAGTGATGGATGTTTTTGTGCTTCTTTCAACTATAGAAAATCTGGGACAGGCAATGGCCGCCTTTGCGAAATCAACAAGGAAAGCCATGAAACAGTTTTTGGTGACTTCAAACCCATTGAGGGATCGCAGTATTATGTTGTTTCTTAATTTCGTCTTATTTTGTATGTAAATGATTAAAAGTTGTCATCTATTTTCACTATAAAAATTGAAAAGGTACAGTTCGGAAACATTAAGAAATTCAGTTCATAAAAGCTTTGCATCTTTCTTTGCTAATTCTCATGTGCTTAACACCCATTTCTATGCTAATAAATTTCTTTGAAGTGTAAACTAAGAGTAGAAGTTACATTTGGAGCGAATAAAGTATGACTATCTGTTGTAACTTGCAATATGCTTGGTTGGCATGGCTGGCACATGCTTGGAGCAATATGGACAATTGAAAATTGAAATATTGTTTGTTGAAAACTAAGATTAAAATGAGGTATAAAATGAGCGTCTATTTCAGGTAAATTTATATAAATAAACTTTTTAATCATAGTAATATTGTTAGATATCAGGTATATATTGACGATTATAACCATCAAGCACTCCCAACTCCCTTTCCTACCTCTCCTCCCTCTCCTACCCCTCCTCCATCTCCTACCCCTCCTCCATCTCCTAACCCTCCTCCCTCTCCTTCCCCTCCTCCTTCTCTTACCCCTCCTCCCTCTCCTAACCCTCCTCCCTCTCCTACCCCTCCTCCCTCTCCTACTCCTCCTCCCTTTCCTACACCACCTCCCTCTCCTACCCCACCTCCCTCTCCTACCCCTCCTCTCCCTCAACACAACAAGCCACTATGTAGTTCAGGCACTGGTGTCAACAATTTTATCATTCATTTGGCTCGCGAAAGTCTTTGTCCCTGAGTGGGGGCACTGCATGTGACGTCACACTTGAGAACTCTATTGTAAAGTTAGAAATACAAAAATATATACTTGTGATATATATAACATATTTTTTTACTTTTGTTTTCCTCTCCAACTTGGAAATTTTTGCTCTTTGGAAATTGTTGTTTTGGTTTCATTGTATTTATATTTTCTGGAGACATTTATAATCGTAGACAATGATAACCTTCTTTATTTTTGCATCCTCGGCTACCATGAAGACTAAACCAGATTAGATTTCACTTTAATGAAAAGAAAAGATTTGTTATCAAAACCAGCGAACAAATTTTGTGAACCTTTGTTTCTTCTACTTTAAAAATCTCAGGCCCATTTTTGATTCCTTTATTGAATCGCTCTTTAAGTTTATTTTAAATTTTTAGTTACTTATTAAATATGACTTTTAGATTATCTCTTTTTTCTTTCATATCTCTAGCTCGCTTATCAAATCTTTTTTGACAGAAAAAGGTCTGTCTTAAATATTACAAATGTTCCTTTGAAACAAGAAAAAATTCGCCCCCTTCTATTGGTTTGAATGATTAAAGATTTATTTGGTTTATTCCTACTTATAGTAAGTAACCAGTGACTCCTACAAGAGTTCGAAAACTATTTTCTTCTTTTAATAAAGTCGTCTGATGAGCTTTTATTCCAGGGGAGCTACTCAAACTTTTTTCATACGGGGAAGTCCATTCGCCATTATAAAAATTGTCCCAAAAATATCGAAAAAAATTTTACAGACCTAAAAGTATCAGCCAAAAAGTGTTAATCAGACCCAAAAATATCGAATTACAAAACCTTGTTTATACTTTGCACATAAGAGACCATTAGTCCCAGTAATTTGTACTCTGTCCTATAATGATCAGTTTGAGCACATCTGTACTTTTATTTTTTTTTTGATATTGTCATGTGTTAATTGGACCCATAAGTATCAATAAGAAATGTTGTTAAATAAGGTACCCAAAAGTATCAGACTGCAAAGAAAATTATTACCCACAACTATTGGATAGACCCCCCGTATGTAAAAATTTCCCCTGGAGCTGAGTTAACCCCCCCTGGAGCTTTTATTCTTTTTATCGCAGCACTGTAAAACCATAAAAGAAGATTAAAACTCACATTTTATTGTACATCAAAACATTTTGCAGACTTCATTGTATTTCTAAGAGACAGCTTGTTGCTTATTCTTATACAGGATTGAAAAATTTCTTTTGCTTACATTCATTTATATTTACATTAAAACCTTTGCAGGTTTTGAAATCTTTCTCTGTGATTTGCTAATTTGTTACTTTTCTATATAAAATCTTTCAGCATTTCTTAAAAATATAGAAAGTGGAGATTTTTAGACCTTCTTTGTTTTTCTGACTTAATTTATGTCACTAGTGTTGAAAACTATCTTTTGTTCATTCATTCTGTCATGGATGTTAAACTTGCCTATACCTTCTTCATTCTGATCTTCCTAAAGATAATTTCGCTTCATTTCAACCCTGTATGTAAATCTTTGTTTCGCCCTTTCTATTTGTAGTTATGATTATCTCTAAAATGCTTTAAATTTGTTCTCGGCCTTTTCATGTAAAAAAGATTAAGTTACTCCTCGACATATCTATTTGAATATTTATAAATCTTTTTTGCTTGTTTTTTGACAATAAATCGTGTCCTCACTTTGCATCACTTTATTCAAAAACGTTTTTCTTTGTTTCAGATTTATCATAACACTATTATATGCGTAGACTGAAAATCTCTTCTCTATCTGTTACTAAATTATCTTTTGTAAGAAACTTCGGATGAACATCTGTCTATAAACAATAAATAAAAGATAAAACATTGTTGAAACTCCTGGCAGTAAGCAAATGCGAAATTCTCACAGTTTTTAGCAAGCAACCAGAAAGTGACAATCAGCTCAAAGAAAAAGTAAATGAAAACAAAACATTGGCAATAGGAAGCATTTAGCACAGAAAACAACAAAAAGGAAGAGAACTGTTCATGACAAGAAATAGTTAACTATATGCGAAACTGAAAGCAAGCAAGCAACGTGATATTAAGATAATAATAAACCATCGTGTGAATTTTGGGATGCTCACTTTCCGTTATCGTATATTTAGGTATCATTGTTCATGACGTCAAAAATTAAAGAATGCATTTCATCTCGTAACCATCGCTACTTGCTCAGACCTTTTTCTTTGTGGTTGATCGAGAAAAGCATATCCAGACTTCTTTTGAAAAGCATATCCAGACTTCGTTTGAACGAAAGTAGCAAAAACTTATTTGTTAAAACTCAATTTTACGGTATCAAATAATGTTTTTTATGGAAGAGCATTTGCGTTTTGATTTAGTGTCTTCAGCGCAATTTTCTATTGCGGGAGGTGTCATTTTACATTGAGCAACTCATCACTGAGCTTGCTTTTTTGGGTTTGGAAATAAATTTCTTATTCAGATCAAAGAATGAAATGCACCAGGGCCTTTTTCACTTCATTCAGCTAAGAACTTGTTTTTTACTCTGTCTTAATTCTGAAAGCTTTCTGCTTCAAAAATTTTTGAAAATATACTTTCAATCGATTTCTTCCTTTATTCTATTAAAATAATTATTGGTACATATTGTTATTTGATATACCTATGTTAAACACTTAATAGAAACACTTAGAAAGTCGAACCTCGTATATAAGAACCTAGGTTAGCTTGGCAGTCTCTTATTCAAAGATATTTCCTATTTATTCAGGGCTTAGCATTAGTTACTACAAATAATATCTAATTGGCCTTGTAGTTGATTTTCATTCCATCATTTAGAAGCTACAAGCATTTTTCTGGATTTTGCTTCACAGATTGTCCACAATTGTCTGCACATTTAATAAATTCTTAATCAATTTGGAAATAATTGTAAACATGGAGCTTCTTGAATTGAAAAATATCACAGAAAAGCTTGCTAGTTTTCTGCTTTAGTTAAAAACTACTGAGAAATTGAGTTTTTTTTAAAAAAAGGATTATTTTCAATTGACAGTTGACACTTTGTTGAAACGTTGTTATTTATATCAGCAACCAAATTGGAATTATGCAAATCAACAAGAATTGAGTCAGAAACAAAACAACAAATGAGATCATATCAACATTTATAAAAATGTATCTTATCATCATCTACACAAAAGTATGTACAGTTCTAATGCTTGAGTTAAGTTTATGCTATAAGCAGTTGTCTTGGAATAATATTATTCTTGAATGCCAAAGAAATCACAACTGCATTGTCAAAAAGAAAAAACAAGATAATAACTCAGTTTTTCAAAGCTAGATTTAGGGAAACTAGATACTGTGGTTTAAGTTGCCAAATATAGCTTGAACAATTTTGTGGCAATGCATTGTTTTGAGCAAATTATCTCCCTTACAAGTGGCATTAAAGACCGAGTTCTGCTCTAGCAAAGTTTCTTTCATTTCTATTGATAATTTTAAAAAAACAACCCATTTGCATAAGAAATGTGAGGAAAGTGAATATGCACATAATTGTGCCTGGGATGCAAAATGTAAATAGTTCTATTGTAGAAGCTTAATTTGAGAATGAATTTAGAATTATTTGAGAAAAAAATGGAAAAATTTTCCATTTACTGTATTTTAAAAGATTGATTTTTAAAGCATTGACAGATATGCTCCCAACATAGTTATTCAGAAACATTTAATGATCAACAAAATCTAAACACAAGTCACTCATTACTCCACCACCAATAACCTTTCACTTCCTAATCCTTACCTCAACTCCTTTTTTCAATGCACTATACAATTTTTATAACATAATGTAACTGCTCAAAGGTAATTGAAACTTTTCAGACACTAGATACACCAGAATGCAATTAAATGATTGCTTGAGAAGAAACATCAAATGAACTAGTCAGGATCCTACTGTATCACAATGCTGTACTGTTTACTGATACACAAGTGTAGTTCAAATCTCAGATTCAATTTTGATTTACAGGAGAAATTTGTGACAAAACATGGGAAAATATTAGGCATCATAAATGCAATACTGCAATACAATATGGAAATAATGTTATTATTAAAATGAAAGTTAATAAACAGGGGGACCCCTTATGAACTTAAGTATTGCAGAAGGCGTGCTAAGGAACTTAGAATTTTCAATTTTAGTGAAAGGTTTTGTTGATGAAAAAAGAGTTGAAATAATGCGCAGGGGTCTTAAAAAATCCCAAAAACAAATAAAGATGAAGGGGGCATTTACTCATGACATTAGAGTACACAAAATATAAACTTAAACCTGGGTATCTGATGCATTGTGTATTCCTTCAATAAGCTAAGTTATTGCTCTTTTTAATTGTACCGGCCTGCAAAAAGTGAATGAGAATGAAACCAGTAAATCAAAATATTTACAAATTATTTCAAATTAACTTGGGTGTAATCAAATTACTACTTCAAATTCACTTGAAAGTAATCTGATCAGGTGGAAGGTGACCAGCATCCCCCAGTGACTTCAAACTGACTCTTCCATTTGGCCTGATTGTCAATTGAGTTAGACCACAGTTGGCAATGCTCATTCGAAGCCATCCTTCTGGTGGAAATTGCAGAGCTCTACAAAAAAGTTCAAATTTAATATTTACTGCTCATTGGGACTGGATGACTATTACAGCTAATGCTCTTTATTTGTGTTTTGTTATGCTGGCAGCATTGTATTAATTACCTAAATAATTTTTAGTTCAGTCAGGGGCAGCTGGCAGGGAGAAGAAGTTTGTCATAGATTCCAAGGAGTCTGGAATCGCCCTTTAAACCCCCCCCCTTTTTGATGACCGAAATGGTTCACAAGCTAACTGTTAGATAATATGAAATCAGGAGTGATTTGTAGGCATGAAATTGATCCCTCATATAAAAAATTCTTTAACACTAAGTATACTTTTCAACTTAACTTCAAAGTTCTTTTGGCTTTTAATAGAGGAAATCTAAAATAAATTTTTTTTATCAAGATCTACCTAAAAGTGTCTTAGTTACAGTTAATTATTATGAACTAAAACTTAAGCAATAGTTTCCTGACACACAAACAAGTTAGATTCATAAACTGGTTGAATTTTTAATCATATAATAGTTTACAACGGGATGTGCATCCCAAAACATAGTGTCAAACGATACTTTTTTCTTAAAAAGTACTGAAGCTTCTTTTCTAACAACTTGCTCTAGAAATACTGCCTTATTTTGATAGGTAGCACTTATAAGGATTAACAGGAATGATTCTCTGATTAACAGGAAAAATTGCATTTCAGTTAATAGAATCGCATTTCTATTTATGTAGGGGCTATCATTAAGAGCAGCTAACTCACACAATAAAACCCAACAACAGCTCCTACGTACAAGCTGCTGTATGAATAGAAATGTGATTTCATTAATGCCGAGGGTTCGTCTGGCCAGGAGTCCAGGGTTGTCTTTAAAAGGACCAACCATTAACCAAAGGAAGAAAAATTACTCCATATAGTCTGGGTTTTGGTGCTCCATAATAGAGAAAATACAATCTTTGACAAATCACCTTTAATTAAATATGGCCAATAATTCAAACTTCATCACCACAAATCTAAGAATACTTGCTCTTATATTAAACTTTGTAGTGTAGTGAAAATACATTTTGGTATGTTCCTGCATAATCTGTCAAAAATCGTTTGGTTCACTATAAGAAAGCTGTGTTAACAAAAGAACCAATGAAATGCTTTTGGGGGCCGGGAGGTCATCTATATAGCGCATGAATAGAAAAGCAAACTATACAAGGCATTCTTTCTTCTGAAAATCTGTGAGGCATAGCTGCTGTAGAACAAAAGGTCAAATCCTACATGTTAACAGTAGCCTTATGATGGCATTAGGCATAAAACTCAAAAATATAACTTAGAGCTATTCAGTTCTACACAACAAAATGTGTGCAGCTCTGCCTATATGGCAAAAGCACTAAATGACAGGCAAAAAATTTTTAGCAGAGAATCATGATGTAGGTTCACTCACCTACAAACAAAATATCGAATGACATTGGCATGGCAAACTATCAACTCATGGCTATCATTTGTTTGCTTGACATCTGCTCGGTGGATGTATTTACGAAATGCTGCTTCTATTCTTGAACCATCTTGAAAATACTCCTTGGTATAAGAAAAAATCAACAATAACTTTTCTGGCAGAATATGTACACTAAGCAGGTTTAAGGATATTAAATTAACTAAGATTAATTAATATTAAAATATATACATTCATAGGTGCTTCTATCTATTGATCATATTTGACAGGTATGCAAATGTTTTAAACAATTTTCAATGGATGACACATCCAAAATTTCTCACTATTTGAAAAGTGTTACCCTGCAATTCTAAGGTGATCCTTTTTATCAAGACCTTCCCTAAATTTCAAAGTTAACAGAAAACAGGTAGCTGCCTTATTTGAAAAGTGGAAGTGGATTGGTTTGAAGAGTTCTGTGGATGTAGCAAGAGTGGCCTCGAAATTCCTCAAAATGACAAAAATAATAACATTCAAAAATGCTCACCCAACGCTCAGGTTTCCAATTACTAGATGAGCTTGGCTCTGGGGGACAAGGAGCTCCTTCTCTCAGCAAAGAACAACTCTCACAGCTTACATCATCCAGACTTTCTTTTATTAGTTCTGCTGTTTCCTTGGCCCTTGTCATGGTGGAATGAACTATTCTGTCAAACTTTATGTTCAAGGACTTCAACCTATTGCCAGTGTTAATTGCTTGCTTTCTATGAATAATTTGAATACATATTAATTCTCTCATTTTTAGGAATATTTTTACAATGAGCAGACCGAAAGTGTGTTTGGGGGTAAATAAGCTAGCCTTGCTAGAAGTTAAAGACCTGGAACAAAACATTTAACATCTGTGTGACTTTGAGATGGTGTCAATATTGAATTTAATGTGTCAAATAGAATGATTAAAGTGAGTGATAAATGAAGTAATAGTTCTCACTGATAACAAAATGGATCTAAATAATTAGGTGCCTTATTGGAAAACAATAAATGAATGAAGAAGCAGGCAAAGATTTCCAGAACATAATTTATTGCTGACAAATGAGAGAAGGAGAGTTATTTAGAGATGCAAAGTGTTTGCTGCAATCCAGTAGAATTTTAGGGCTTCTAACTTTTCAGCCAAAAGAGAAAAAACAAACCTACAGATAGGAAAACCTTCAAGGTGAACAAAAGAACATTTCACTAAATACCTTCAAGAACAAGGCACAAGCTAGAAAGAGAAACTTTTAAAAATTGGTCGCTGTCTCTTTTTTTATAGTGATATGTTTCTATCATAATATTATATCTGTTAGACGTGCAGAGGTTTAACAGCAGTTAATGCCACCAGGGAGGAGCATGTGTTTTGGGTCACTTGACATGTCGTGCTGGGGGCAGGATCTTCCAGTCACATGGTGATCTAACCTATAGGAAGTCAAGATTAAACTTATAAAACAATTATCGCAAGATATTTTGCCAATCTACTGATGAAATGACACCCTCCCGTTGGTGTGTGCTGGCACTCTATGGCCATCATATGAGGACTTTTTTATTGATAAATCTTTTTGGTTTGATTAGTATTGAGGCATTCTCAAAGATGGTATCTATTTCGTCGGCTTTGTTTGATTTAAAGGGCCTCCCATTGCAGTTCCTCTTCCTTTTTGCTTGAGAGCAAATATTATCAATATGTTTTGTAAATGTACCTATTGCTCACATATCTTAATTAAGCCACAAAATCCCAATAAATATTCTCTAAGAAGGACCCCTGATAATTGAATAATTTGCCTTAAACTTGGAAGTAATGACTGATCAGGCCATAATTTATGTGCTAACCCCTCCTTATACAGTCGACCCCATATATAATCACTGCACTTAGAGTAACACTGCTGATCACATAAAATTTAGACCCAAATGAGCAAAACTAATCAATTAAGTCATGTTACAAGTCACCTGTTCTCGAGCAACATTTAATGTGACTATACCTGGAGACTACTGTTTTCCTGAGCATATATGCTAGACTGCATTGGTAGCAATACAAGGCTAACCTACTCAAAACCCAAATAATGGGCCTCATATCATATCTTGACTAGCATATGGCCTCTTTGTCCTAAATCAGGCACCGACTGTAGTGTCAGTGCCAGGTGCAGACAGGCTTATTCCTTATGTGGATTTCCCCTGCAGTTCTGCGCAATGAAAATAATACAAACCTTCCAAGATCAGTCAATGTTTTCTCGTCATCACTTTTACCACTGTTATACTGCCCATGGCGAACAAATATCAAATGCCTGGTTGCTTTTGGCTTTTTTATCTTATCTTCTGTTGCATCTTCTTCACCGCTCGAGCTGTCACTTTCAACTGAAAAATTCTTTTTCAACACAGTATCATCAATCACATTTAGGTTTTTTGACGCGATTATCCTTTTTATATCGCCGAAATTCCTCCTATCCCAATCAGAGTCCCACTGTTTTGCTTTCAGTCGTTCTTCGAGAGTTTCAACCGGGGCATCTAATATCGGAGATTGTGCTGAGGCTCTATCAGTTACAAATGCGTTGTAAACAGCCACAGAACTTGTAGCAGCCGTCAATCCACCAATTGTTAAAATTCGTCCGAAGGATGCACGAAAGCGAGCCATTCTTTACCTGATTGTGGTCAACAAACAAAACCTTGTTGTGGCCTCTCGCAGATACGGATCTAGGCTAGGCCATTAAAAATATGAACAAAATAAGTGACCTTATAGCATGGATGCAATGGCAATATTTTGATAGCAAAATTTCACGGCTATTACAATTTAAATCTTTTGACTAAGATCACAAATTGTTTGCCGGGTTTTTAGCAACAATTTTTTTCACAACATGTCACCTTCCATTTGCCACCTTACCTGTCCCATTAACAACTTGGACTTTGAACACTACCTCGTTCCAGGAACAAACTTCATAACGAGGTCTCTAAAGGATTTGCTGCTCTTGAGTAAAAAAAGTCAATCCTCGCACAATTATGGTATAACAATGTATAAATAATACTTGAACTGGTTTGATTAAACAAAATTACATACGTATGATAAGTGAGCTTTAAGTTAGATGGGTTTATATCCAACATAAAACATTATTGTCCGTCTTAAAAGTGGAATTTCTTGATGGGGTGGGGCGCAGATAATCAAACCCATGACAGAAGCCCATCATTAAATACTCTTGTGTTCAAGAGGATATTCTCGATTTTTACTGAAATATGCCTTACTTGATATAAAAAGGCTCTTTACATTTAAAAAGCAACATCTTTTCAGAGTAGTTTAAAAATAGGCTTTGCAAGTCTGAGATTTGCCCAATAAAATCTCCTTTGGCTTATTATTCCAGAGATTAGTACCAAAGTAATAAAGTTTTTTTATAGCTAAATACTAGTAATAATGTTTAAATCCAGTAATTAACAGTTTTAGCAGCATCGTTAAAAAGCTGTTGTCGGCTCCGTTTTGTTCACATGCGTGTATATTGCCAAAATACATTGCTTTGTAAAGATTCCATCTAAGGCTAGAGAGATTGGTATTTTTTTCTTTCAAATTGAGCCTTGGTTTGTTTTTATTGAAAAGAAATTTGAATTTTTTCGTTAAATAAACATGCAAAGAAATTTTTAAAATAAGCTTAACCATTCATAGCGAGTAGAAACGTAGTGAATAATGAATTTGTATGTTTCGGTGAAATTGAATCAGAATTCTGATTCAATTGAAATTCTGATTCAAGTCAAATTGAAATATTTAAAGATTTGCATGTGATATTTAGTTCTACAAATCTAATGATCAAAGCATGAACTAGTGGCTAGTATTTTCTGGAAATTTGTCTGTTGATTGTGTGTTGATTCATTAACTTTCCGCATTTGTATACAATCGTTTCCTTCTAACATAGTGCTTCCAAAACCACCGTAGAAAATTTGTAGGGTCATGGAAAGTCCTAAACTGTATGAAAAAAGCCAGTTAGTTTGAACTAAAAAACAATTTAAAAACGATTTTTGACAACCATAACACATTTGTTCGATAATATGCGGCATTCATACACCTCCAGTCATTTCAATCCTAATTTCATATTCTCGAGATTGCATTGTATCTCATATAGCATTTCCAAGAATCATGAAAACAGTGGCAAAACCCGTTGCAAAATGCAAAAGGCCACATAAATTATGTTGATGTTATTAGATATGCGAAAGTTGTATTTGTTGTGTGGTAATCTCATCAAGATAATAATACACACGGCTGAAATAATAGCTTCTGGTCAATGTGATAACTTCTCAAGCATTGCAATAAAACACAAAATCTATGGTGCTTATAGCGAGGCCCTTAGATTTCATTCTCATTTTGTAGGAATAGCTAATTATAGATTGAAGAATGGTCCAATAATGTGAGTTTTCTATTTTCGGGAGGTGTTAATTTCTATCATTTATGCGCAAAGAGGTAACGTGTTTTCATATGTAGCTACGTGCTTCAGATTATTCTTCATCTCATCATTAAGTGTCAGGTAGGGGTTTATGTTGAATAATGTCAACCGAAAAAGTATTTTATAAGATACCAGTTTAACCCATAAGAGACGTACAACATGCAAGTCGGACTGACTTTATCGTCAACGACACCGGGACTTTATCATGTCAAGAACAGGCATATAGGCACCTATTTGACCATGGGGAAAATATTTCCTCGTATGAGTTATGTTTCTGGCAAATGTTATAAATAATTTTGATAGGATGAATAGAGAAAATAGATAAAATTATTAAATTGATGCTAAAGAAATAACGAAAATGAATTGTACTCTCTAGCAGATATGATTTCGATTTACAGATATCCTTGCTACCTTTTCGCAAGTAACTGAAGTAGTTTAGATGTTTATTAACTATAAATATAATTATAATGAGTATAGTTTGGCATTTCGGTGACCAGACAACAAAGGTCCTATTCGTGTTGTAGCTTTTACAAAAGAACATCGGACAGAACGAAATCAGGTGTGAAAAATGATTTGCTGGATGCCATATTTGCAGAAGAGCATACTGTAACTTTTCTCAAAGATAATTCGTTTAATGTACTCAAAACGCTTCCTGACATGAATGATATATTAAGTGCTCATTAGATTACTTAAAGGGCCTCTCCAGCCAAAAATAATTTTTTTATTGACTAAAAAGTTAGCATCCGGTGCGTGTATTATGGCAAAGTCATTGTTTTTGAAAAATTCCAATTAGTTTAGTAGTTATAAGCCCTTAAAGTTGCACCTTTCCGAAATAGAAAGACAAAAGCCGAATCAGTTTGGTGACATTCTGACGTCACAATGTGCGGCTCTCATTTGCCATGAATTTCATATATCTTCCACCAAATCGTGAAGAAGTCATGGTCACGCGTTGATAACTGCATCTAAATCTAGAGCAGGAGCTTTTTAGGATCGAAAAATTTTCAAATGTGTATAATCATTCTAAGTCTGCGGGTCGGAATGTGTCCATGCTGTGTCATGACCTTGTTTTGATCACCTGTGTAGGCCCACAAAGCTATGGCTTCCTGTTCCAGCTCTTCCCTGGCGTATAATCGAAATTGATACTCATGTTGTTCTCCAGAAACGATGAACATCTAAAGGCTTCAGAATTGGTGTCTGAAATGCTCAAACTAAAAGCCAGTTGAACAGAACTGAGAGTACCATCACTTGCAGTGTTCAGTTTGCGAATCGCTGACGCTCGATTCGGTTTGGACGCGACTAACGAAATACACTGTGACGTCAAAATTGCGTCACAGTGTCACCAAACCGAAAAATTTTTGCCGGTTAATTCAATTCAATTATTGAAATGCAAGAGCTATATCTCACAAACTATAAAAAATATCGAAAAACAAATAACGAATTCGTGATCAGCAGGTTCAAATCCTTTAGATTAGCCAATAAAATGCAAGTGCAAAATGAAATTCAAATGTGAAACAATTCTGCCTTTGGGCTGAATATTGAAAAAGTTCAACCATAAGGTTACTTTGACATTACATTGTACTGGATGTATCAGAGGTTTTGACAAAGTCATCTACATACAAGTAAATTTTCCACCTACGAAAGCTAACTTCAGGATATTTATAGAGGATAACTTATAAGCAGAAAATAATGCTATTATCTTTAGGTTCTGTCTTTGAAATTAAATCACTTAGGAAACATACTCAAACGCATTAGTTACCTTTGCAAAATACTGATATGACGAATTGCAAAAATGTAAGAATAGCCATCTGTTTGAATGGAAATCTATAAGTTTTTCGCTTCCTGTGGACTTTTATGCATCAAATCTTCTTTGCAATGTGCTGTATTTGTCTCGCAAGCTGCAATAAAATCTCCTATTAATCCATGGAATCTCGTTGTTCATTTCCGTTTTAACGTCACTTTATGAGAAATAAAGCTTTCTTAATCAAACTTTCATTGCATTGACTTGATTTATCACTTTGCGCCTTCTCGGTAACAGTTTTTGAAAGATCTACTGAATAACAACAGCTCTTGCACCAGATCTAGGTTCTTTACTGCCAAAGATGTTAACCAATAAATTCACGACACTGCTGCATATCATTATCAACACAAAACATCTCAGCCAGTTTTGGCTCTTCAAAGCTCCACTGGGTGTGTGACGTTCAAAATCACTGGTAAAACTGGCCGTACCCCAGTAGACACAAAAGGCGCATGAAGCACTCAAGCAAGGCGCATGAAGCATTCAAAGCAACACTATTTGCTGTACAGGGCCTTTGTTGCACTAAAAGCCTACCTTTTCTCCAAGACTAACAAATGAGATAATTCAATATAATATACGTGTTTTTGCTTAAAATATTATATCATATACTCTTTGTTTCATATGTATGTTATTGATTTATATTGTATTAAATCTTAAATTAAAGTATATTGTTTTACTATTTATTATATCTTATTTATACTATACAATATTGTCACTATATACTGTTTGCCTAGCAAAACATTGAGCTTTCTATGTCATGCGAGATGTTATTTGGTCATCATTACACTAGAGTAGTTTTTAGCAAATTTAAAAACTAGAAAAATTATGAAACGTTGTTACAGATATTTTTTAGATATGTAAATATCAAAACAAAATAAACAAAAAACAATAATAGCAAGCTTTCTACAAATACATTAAATTAATCAAATTAAACTCTAGCAGCTGGAGTGTATAGTTGGTGATTTCCTACCACGTTGATTACGAACCTATTTTAATCATTTCCAGGTATGGTACCAAATCTTTAGATAGGACATTTCAAAAAGGTCTACAGTAACTGGGCTCAAATTCGTGCGGATAGCTTGGGTCTAGTGTAAGCACGTTTTCCTATCTGAAGTAGTTTTGATGCAGATTAAATTTATTCGGCACAGCGTGAACGGGATCTAAGTACAATCTACATAATAAATCGATGAAGATCAAATCATTACGCAAATGTAGAAATAAAAGGCATTCACATCAAAAGGTTTCACCTGACGCGGAGCAAAACATCAGACAAAATTGATACAAAGAAAGAAGACAGCATATGACGTACATTGAATTGATTAAAGAGGTTTGACAGAAAATGAAGCTGATTAACATGAGATTCCTGTATCCATAAACAAGAGGCAGGCTTCTTAATTGTAGATTTAGAAGAATGGCTTACATAAACATCGATGGGAAATTTAGAAAGACTTTTAAAAGAAAATTTGTTTAAAGAATGATAAGAGTGTGAATAAACAGTTAGAATGTAAAAGGCTTTTTCTTAGGAATGTGAGAGACCATGATCGCTTGTGCCTTTTGCAGGCAAGGCAAATTACAATAAAGAAGAGTAAGAGGAAGAATAAGGAGAAGAAGAAAAGAAGGAGACGAAGAAGAAAAAAAGAAGGAGACGAAGAGGAAAAAAAGAAGGAGATGAAGAAGAAGGACAAGAAGAATAAGAAGGAGGAGAAGAACAAGAAGAAGCAGAAAAAGAAGGAGAAAAAAGAAATTAAGAAGCAGAAAAAGAAGACGAACAAGAAGGAGACGAAGAAGGAGACGAAGAAGAAAAAGACGAAGAACAAGAAGAAGCAGAAAAAGAAGAAGAAGAAGGAGAAGGAGGAGAAGAAGGAGAAGGAGGAGAATGAGGAGAAGGAGGAGAAGGAGGAGAAGGAGGAGAAGGAGGAGAAGTAGGAGAAGAAGAATGGGAAAATGATGAAGTTGAAGAAGAGCATGAAGAGGAATGGAAAAGAGAAAAAAGAAAAATATGTTAAAAAACAGAGAAGAAAAATGAGTTTAGACAAAAGAAACAAAAAAGGAAAAAAGATAAGAAAAATAAAGGAATGAAGGAATAGAAAAAATGTAAGACAAGGAAGAATAGGAAGAAAACGAATTGGAAGAAAGTGAAGTAAAAGACAAAGGAAGATAAAGAAAACGAAAAATAGGGCCGAAAAAAGATGGAGTTGGTTAGAAAACAGGTAACAAATAAGATAAATCGTTAGAAAATTAATAGAATAGGAAGAAGAGAACACGAAAATGGCCAAAGAGAAGCGAAGTGAACATTGCAAAGAAGCATGCTCACAATACAGGAATTAATTACTTCAACACTTTCACTCGAAAAACTTTTTAATGGATTTCTGAGTGAAAACGTTGTTCTACAGAAACCTTTCAGTTCCAGTAAAGCCGTTTCAGAACATAATATTTTTAGAAACAAAATCAACACAAAAAACTTCTAACTTTCATAAAACTTCATCCAATATTTACTTTACATAGACTTAAATACACAGATATATAAAAGTAAGAAAATGTTATTTACATAGGTTCACACATTAACATGAAGATTGAATGGTTACAAAAATTATGGTTATTCTAATATATAATAGATTAATGCAAATAAAACTCTGTTTGGATAAACTTCGCTATAGTAAAGCAAGAACAGAAGTGGTTGGAAATAGGCCATTGCTAAAGAATAACAGCTTCTACAATTATCATGTTCACTATTCGTTCTAGTCATTCTAAAGAGTTATCAAGAATGAAAACATTATCCGCGAGGGTCTACAACAGACGTGATCTTAACGATAATATGACCTTGACTTGACGTCATACGTTTTGTTGTTACATCCTCTTCCTTGATTATTTGATATAAGATTTCTGTAAGGGCCTTGACATTAACATTTTTACTTTTTGACATAAACATATTTACTTTTTGATATTAACATACCGCTATTAAATTTACCATTAACCCATCAGTTCAGTTCATGCCTATTCTGAACAAAAATATTGTCTATCGTTGATCAATATGAATAACCATTGATTTTTGGCAAATATGACTTCTCAAATAAAGATAAATACACTGACCTCCTTAGTTCTTGGTCCTAAGAGGTCTAGCTATTTTTGCATAGCCATGATATTACTCAAAACTCTGCCATTTTGAATCAATATAGCGTAATAAAATGAGGGCGACATACATACACGGTTTGCAAATTGTTAAGGCAGTCAGGAGTTAAAGCAGTAAGGAGTTGGAAACTCTTTTAGGTAGAGAAATAGCCAAAGTTTTCAAAAGGGATATTGAAAAGTCTCTGTTAATTAAAACAAATAAAACACGCAAGAGTTTCTGTTCTTTACTGGTTACCGGTATATAACTTTGACAGAAATTTTTAACTGGTTTTTTAGTTGGAGGCACCGGTAAACAAACGTTTTTTAGTTCCAGTTCAGCGCAAATATCTATAAGGGCTTCTGATATGTAATAAGTGTAAATGAGCTGCCTCAAAATATCAGAACCCTGAAGTGATAAAATTATAACTTGAAGTTGTTGCCAAAACATAATCAACGTCTTAGTTATGTTTCAAAGAAGCTGAAGTTTACCTGACATTTAAACATTACGAGAGTCCCTTGCAAAATTTAAAACTCGTAGTCCGTGATTTGGCATCACTCTGGCTGTGTAGTACTTAACTACATGGGATCCTTGATTTTCATTTATTTTAATTCCATTTCAAAGGTAGACACGAAGAAGCAGCTTGGCCAGGTCATTCCCTTGATTGTTCGAAGCGGCACATGTGTACATTCCAGCGTCCGCCAGTGTGACGTTAGGTAGCGTCAGTCGTAAGCCATATGGCCTAGTTTCATCGAGAATGAAGGGACTGTTTTTATGATGAAACCATTCGCTAACGTGGAAGGTTGTGTAGTATTTGGGACTGATATATTTGAACGGGATCTTCGCCCACTTTTTGGGGTTTTTTACGTCCGGGAAAATTGTCCGCAGTGCAAATTGCTTCTCTACCGGATATGACCACTTATACCACGACACGTAAGGGAGGACTGCCGAAGTCAATTCGAGGCATTCTAGTGATACACTTTCACCAACTTTAGCCTTGATATAGTTTTCTTTCTTGTAAGTTGTCACTCGTGGAGGGCCACCTTCCCTGCTTCCTGAAACGGACAGAAAAGGTTTTGAAACCCTGTATATTTGCTATTAATGTCAAGAAAAAGTTGTGTGGTCATACCACTAAAAGGTTAAATTTGTAAATTCTTAGGGTTTTGAACAAATAGCAAATAAAAAGCTGATAGGTAGAACTGCGAGCAAGATTAATTTCAGTTTGCTAATTCTGATGGTTGTCTTGAAGTATTGTTTAAATTTTGTTTTTTATTTCACCCAGAGCTGGGGCCAATAACTTAGTGGTATTTAGTTGACCTATTCAATTTTTTTCAAACTCCTGACATGCAATCGGAAGGTATTTTAAAGTTTTATTATAATTTTCATCTTCCTCCATAAAATTTTGCTAAATCGCTGCATCTACTAACGAACACTTTACTATTAAAAGCTGACAAATAAACACTGCCAGGGGGACCACAAGAAAAAGTGAAAGCAGTCATTTTTTCGATTTTTATAATTTGGCACTTCTCACATTTTGCTTGAATCGTTTTTGTAATTACAAAAAATATAAACACATACAATTATTCAAATATTTTTGCAATAGACCAAGTATATAGGAGCACTTTGTTCCAATACTATTTTTGCCGTTAAATATATTGTTTTTTTCCTAGGATTTCGCATCAAAACATGAGCTTGATGTTAATTTTCAGTGCCTTTTTTTAAATGCGATGATTTTCTTTTTTGAACACTGCGTAATTACTTTATCTAAATAAGTTGACTTACGAGGCATGTTTAAGGTGAAACTAAATGAAATCCACCCAAAGCTATTGTTGACCACGCACGTATAATTGGCAGCATCTTCGAGTGTCAGTTTTCTGATTCTCAGCATACGGTTACTGAAATCAATTCTCCTTCGTTCCTTCTTCAAAGGTTTCCCATTCTTCAGCCATGTGTATCGCATTGGTACATCGCTTTTGCCCTCACATCGGAATCGCACTGTCTGTCCCTCGTGCTTGACGGTAAATTGTTGTCGTTTCATGACGTCGATGTCGTAGAATCTCGGTGCAAGCCCAGGAGTTTCTATAAAGGAGAAGGAATTACTCTCCTAAGTTTTGTTGACATTATAGCATGAGCAAAACAGCTCCGTAGCCACTAATGCGCTTGGGATTGGGGGCTTAAGTCCCCCAAAAAACCTTTTTCCAATGAGCAAACCCTTTTCGTCCTGCTGTTTATAAGCAAAGGAAATTCTACTTTGGGAATGAGAGCAATGATATTCTTAGCAGAAATGAAAGTCACTGGCAAGATCAATTTTTAGAGACCCTTAGATAATGCAACAATTTCTTTTAAAACAAAAAACACTCATTCTCTATTTAAATAACAATATATTTATGCCCTTAATAAGAGCAATGGAAAAAATAAAGTCTAAAATCTATTGTAAGGGGAATCTAAGTCCCCCTTGCATGCACCTACAATTTACTTTTCTCTTTAAAATGACACATGAAATAACTCTGCATAGGATAAAATAATAAATATAGAAAAAATAGCATTCAGAATATAAAGTCCAAAATTAATTTTGCTTTGCAAACTTTCACGAAAAGAGGAACTATGGTGCACATTAATGGTAACTAATTAAAATGGTAATTAAAATGTTGATTGTAATTAGAATGGTATTCTAAGAAAAAAGCTCGAGAAATTTGCCTTTTATTATTTTCTAATTGTCACAACCTGTAACAATTTCTTCAAATGCAAACAAAATCAACGAACCTTTTATTTTCAGTGGAAACGAGAATGAGAGGTTGCCATATTTATTGGAGACCAAGCAAGTATACACCCCAGCATCCCTTGCGCGAATCCTTTGTATTCGTAGAAGAGTCCCTTCGTTTTTGACATTTACTCTGAAACGCCTTTTGAAATTATGCCCATTGATGAACCAGTTATAAGTTATCGGCCATGCCCCGATCGCCTTGCACGGGAGATCAAGGTCGTACCCTTCAGTGTGAACTTTGTCTGCCAAATGCCTCATTACTTTTGGTGACGTGAATGAAGGACTGTATGATTTTCCTAATATAAAAGTCTCGATTGCTTCGTAGTCTTTATCTGAAAAAAAGAAATAACTAATGAAACGTTTGAAAGACCAGTTTTCACAATAATAGCGACGATTATGCAGTTGTGAAGGATAATGAAGGCTTTTCTAACTGTGTTTCTAGAACAGAAATTTCTGTAGTTTCCTTGACCCATTTCTTTTGAATAGCACTTTTTTCGTGGGCTGCTGCACTGAGTATCTAATGTCCAGTATAAATATCTGTATATATATGGAAACCCTTTAAGATTCTAAAATTTGTTTAAATTTTCAAGAGGGTTGCCATTCAGCCTGTGTTCCAGACCCCTACCTTAAATGGCTGGACAAACGAAGAATCAGTTAAGTGTATGCCCATTGCAGCCATGAGGTTTAATTTCGCAAGAAAGCTGCATTAGAATACGTTGCTGTAAGGCTATAAATATTGAACTGCATCGATCGTTGTTGTCCCGCCCCTACTGCTTCCGTTGCGTGATATGAGAAATCGTCATAACGTTAAATATTGCGCTCAGAGAACATCGCAAGCAGAGAATATAGTCTTAAAATGACGTAAACTCGCCATCGCTGATGTGAATTCTTTCTTTTTCATTACCTTTAGGTATCCTGCTATGCTTTTAGAGAAATTCCCATACAGTGAATATGGGAAACTTTTATTGGAGATATAGGAAGGCCACTCTCAAGTCTCCCTTGTTTGATGACTCAGGGGTGACCGGGGGAGAATTTCCTCCACAGTATATATCTTTCCGCTTTCTCACGGTAGAAAGCTCCGGGTATTACCGTTTGATTTTATCACTGAAACAGCTGACCGTACGAGCAAACATGAAGGAAGTACTATAGTTGGGAAAAGGCAGGGGAAGAAAAATTTCGTGCAATTTCTGTTTCCTAATTCTGGTCTCTGTGCATAAGGAAATCGACCTTTTAAATGAACAAATGCTAAATGAGTTAGCTGGAAAGGGTACTGAATGAACGTAAGCCCTGAATAAAACAATAAATCAATCCTTTGCCTCTACATGGGAAGGTAGTATAAAGAAAGAACTGGAAACCTCCTTTGTCTGGATTTCAAGGCTGGCATGCATAATCCTCGATGGTGCCAGGTTTTTCGATGGAATATTGTAGTAGGAAATATAGATTTGTGCTTTCTTTTAAGTAATTTTTTTCTATTTTCAGCGAGTAATTGTCTGTGAATTATCAGTCCTCATATGACAGGCTGCCAGGTAATTGGGCCTAGAATAGAATCATTTTGAATTTTGCCCCAACAAGGTTGCCAGTTCTTTTCCACATATTCTTTAATTACTTTGTATCAGTTTCCATTTGAAACCTTGACTTTGAACTGTCGATGAGTGGCAGATAAAATGGAGGCAGGGAGGGGGACAATTTTTCACTAACACAGCTCTGCTTTTGATAAAAAGCCCTTCTGATTAGCATCTACTGTAAATGCCCATTTCTTTATGTAACTAGATCAACGCTAGAGCAAAAATGAATGTAAAAAGTCAGTAAACTGATGCTATTTAACGAAGCAGTTAGCTCTCGAAAAGGGCGTTTCTCATTTTGGAAGGGCGTGGCAACAAGTGATTTCTCCACCTTGCGAAAAGCCTTCAAAATGCAATTTTTGATTCCGCTGCTGCAGGAAATGACAAAAATTTGGTTAGTGAAGAGCGATATTTTCACATAGGACATGCTTGGAACCTTTAAATGAATGACCAAATGAAATATTTGCTCATAATGTTTGCGAACGGTTAAGGAATGCTTTTCCTTAATACGTGGGAGGAAGAACTGACCAAAATGATTGACTCAAATTGGTTTCCAACAGTTGAAGCCTAAGAGAAATATATCCACATTTCCTGTGTCATAAATCAACTGGATTGATAAAGAGCCTGAAATAGAAACATCACTGCTTTTCCAGGAGCACTTGGCAAGCAAAAACAGCCAAAGGACATTTGTATGTAGTGAGAAGGAAATCTCTACAAATGTTCTTAATTAAGAACTACATATATCTGCTTCACGTTTTTTACTGCAAGAAAATGTGAATGAGTGGCGCCACCAAAGCAGGACTCGGACCCGCGCCAGCCGAATTGTATGTCGTTGCTTTACCCGGTCACGATTCAAAACCAAGCCCAAAGACGTGCCACTTGCCTAGACATCATGGAGTATGGACAGGTAGTTGTAGCCCTGTAATTTTGCAAAAAACTTGAAGAATTATTTACCAGTCCAGCTTATTTTGTTCGGTTTTGGCCCCCACCCACTTTTCTCTCTGCGGTGCTTACCACCCATACCACCTCCTTTTCCAAGAATAGAGAAAGCAGTCTATCGAAACTGACTAGGGATTCGAGGGATTTTGTAATTACGAGGGATTTCCAAAGCAAAGAGTGATTGTTTTTACCAATTATCATCAGAAAGCTTAGGTAAAAAATTTTAATTTTACACACAGAGATGCTAAACGATCATCTTGCTAGTGGTTGTATAATAAATCTAGTTGTCCTATGAAAAATGCGAGCAGCTGCAAAATGTCAGTTCTGAGACGTGCTAAGATGATTACCTGCGAAGGCTATATATGGCCCAGATCATGGCATATGCTACTTCATATTGCAAAGCGTAAACATTGATAGAAAATACGTTAAGATAACAAAGTTGTATGGCTTTCTCACTTTGTTAAATGACTAGAGAAAGTCAGGCTAGATTGCTTGCGGAAACACTTCAATCTTGGCTGCACTAACTGGAATGTGTCATGCGGGATAAAAAAGCTCAGGTTCTTTAATAATTTGGTATCCTATAACAAAGTTTAACAGTATCATTTTTGGTATCTATATCAGTTACCTCAAACAGCCATAAATAAAATGTATTTATACAAAGTGTGACGTTTATCTGCAAATAGGTCATGGTCTATTTGCAAAGCCTTCTAATCAATGCTGCAAACCAATATTCTAGGCCCTGTGTTACATCAGAGGTACACGCCAAAAATGACTGAAGACTCATTTCTCAACTTACGCAAACCATATTTTTGAAGGAAAGTGATAAATATGCGAGGCTAGACGCATTTTAATCACCTATCACCGCCCACCCGCCATCGCCCACCTACCACCGCCCACCTACCACCGCCCACCTACCACCGCCCACCTACCACCGCCCACCTACCACCACCCACCTACCATCGCCCACCTACCACCACCCACCTACCGCAGCCCATCAACCCCCTAGTTGAAGTCCTTTATAACTGCTAGACTCGAACGAAACAAACAGGATTGCAAATGACTTTACCCATGCTAGATTTAAAATTTGAAGCTAAAGTGTTCAAACTGCAACGATAGAGCTAAGTTTCCATTTGGTACGTTTCCTTTACTTTTGAAAGTGATCATCAGTTAGCTATATTATTGAGCGAAAATTCGACAAAGCATTTTCGAGGGAAATTCGCTGCAGGGGCAAGCTTTCGTTTATATAAAGAGCAGGACAATGGCCTATTGTTTGAAACAATGGAGGTCACTGGTGCTGGAGGGGCAATTGCCCCTTAGTTTGTATTTAAACGAAGGCCCTGAAATTCAACGACACCTCCTTTGTGATAACCTGCTGGTAGTACATTTAACACAATATACTTTTATGTTTTTCTTTCCCTGTTGATCATTGGTTGGAACCTAAATCAAGTTGTTCACACACATTTTAGTAGTGTTGCATAACAAATTACATAAGAAATAAATCCGCAAATGATTTATCGATAGGGAACTTTGTACCTTGCGAGAAGCTGCATTCATAACACGCTAGTTTCAGCAGAAAGATTGATAGATTTAGATGAATGGGACTTAGCTGTTATGCTAAGTTCTTTGATGGGGCTTAGTTGTTTTACAAACTGATTAAAAAGGCCAGTGCATTATCAGAACCTAAATACCAACACTTTCGAAGTTATTTTTTCAATTCCAACCTCTATCCAACCCCTTGGGGTGTGAAATCGGTAGAATGGAAGTAGAGTCTTTGAGTCATTTACAGGCCTACAACTATTATTTCCATTACGCCGATAACAATGAACTTCCTTAAGCAACAGAGCACAGGCATAGTCTTCGTGGCCTTTTTCTTGATATAGATATAGTCTATTTAGACTACATCAGGCATGGCCTATATATTCTATATAGCCTATATAGCTGAATTCCTCCGTGCTGTCCCTATCTGCTTACCACAAACATGATGGGCCGCATCCTGCACTGTATTGAGAAGCTTGAAGTTAAAATAGAACTACTATTTTTAGGATACAGTATGGAACACTTTATCACCACAGTTGCTACAGGACTCGAGCCCATCCATTCACAGAAAATTTAGGTACTTCATATAACTGAATGACAACGTCAACGTTTGATAGCGAGACTATACGTGTACAGTGTAGCGTGACAGTTAGGACTCGGGGCTGGTTAAATAACTATTTGCCGTGACGTAATACTGAATTGGCAGTGACGTTCTGGCAGCAGATTATGAAAGAAAGAAATTGTTTCGCATTTGAAGATTATAGTTTTGATAGGAGCATAGGATCCTGTAGCTAAGTCAACAAAGGTATCAACTATGTTGTTGTAATCGCTCTTAACTGGGGGCAAGAAGAGACCATAATAAATGCCCCCTGTGGCAAATGGTACCCACTTTTTGCATTTTTGATAGCCAGTGGCCAAATATTTTTATATTGTTACCTGAGAGTGCGCTTGGCAGTGCATGAACCCGAAAAATTTAGTGAATCCTCTTGGTTGATCTTTAAACAGTTAACACCAGAGCTATGAATTCATTGAAATCAAACCAGGTTGTAAACTTGATGAAGTTATGATCTACTCAATATCATACTTATTGATAGTACCGACATTAGCTGTTTTAAGCGCCCGGGTCCGGTTTGAAGCGGTAAAGCAGGTTGCATTCTATAATTATGCCGTATGGCTCTGTTTGAAGCGGCACTTACTTAGCGACCAGTAGGAAGAATCACCTGTAGAAGAAGGAAATGCATGTAGTCCAGTCTTAATGCCGGATGTGTCTTTGTAGAAGCCTGTAGGTCTGCCGCCATTTGAAATGCTTTCTTGATATCTAGTCGGCTTTAGCTAAGCATAAAATTTTCGATAGCATTTTGTAGCAAAATTTCCTTTTACCTGCGACCACCCCCTCCAGATAGGCTTAAAATGTATTTCAGAATAGTGTTTATGCTCATTTCTTGCAATCGTTGCAACGCTGTACTAATTTTAGGCAAACTTAGTAATTTTAGGCAAACTTTGCTCCATTTAATTAATCCCATCCAAAAAATAGAGTTAGTTATTTTATGGGGCACCCTAGACCTTGAGACCCTGGGGCAATTTGCCCCCTTGCTCCATCTAGGCGGTCTTGCTGGTATCTATAACCGACTATCTTCTTCTTGGTAGGATATAATACTATTTTCTTTTGAATTTATCCCTACTGTCAGACTCAAAACCCCAGGTGAAAATCTCAACGTTTTTAGTAGGTGGAAAACTTTTCTATAACAGAAACAAAGCTGATTTAATCATAGAAAACTGAAAAATTTTTGGCATCCAGATCGGTAAAAACAAAATAGAAGAAAACTTGATAGGATCTAAAAGAGATTTGGCCAAATAACAAAGTTCAAGGTATACTCTTACAAATTTTCCACAGATCAAACCAATGGTGACCCAACTGTCAAAAGGGCATTTGTAATCGCCTGTGAGCCAAACAGATATCCGTCTTAAGCTCCAGGTAACTTCATTAGGAACCTGAGCTATATTTATAACAATACATCCGTATAAACATTCAGTCTCTGTGTATAAATTCAGATTACATTATAAATTTATGTTGGTTTTGCTCTTCAATTATCATTTCCAAAGGAATATCATACAGGCCAACGTCGTTAGCGAACAGTTTAAAAACTGCCTCTTTAAAAGGATTGCCTTCTGGCTCCAATGAATGTCTATGTTCGAATTTATCAACAATTGGCGATCAAAAGTGTTTTCAGATTTGTTTTAGATAGTGCTTGCTCATTTTCCAGAGGAAAGAAACGTAAACACGTTTTCTTCTCTGAACACTAAACACTTTTCTGTCACTTTTCTTTAGGTTTTTTTCCTAACCATAGGTATAACACTCTAGCATTGTTTATTAAGAGGAAATTTCATACTTTTTCCATAAACTGTTGTTTTTTTCTGCATCTGTTTCTTTATTTACGATTCTTTGTTAGAATTCGTTTGATTCGTTTCTTTATTAGTAGCTCTATCCTTCACGATATTCAGAGTGTAACATTTAAGTTAATGGCACGTTTGAATGAAATATGGTAAATGTTGCGAAAAATGAAGCCACATTACGTTAAAAAGTGAGGGAAAGCTTCCCCTTAGAAATCAATTCGCGAATTTACCTCATATAGCATGGATGCCTCATTATCACATCGCTCGACCTCGCTCACGTGTGGAATTTAAATAAAGCACTGGCTTCACTACATCGAGATTGTGAAATCTGTAATATTTCGTAACACAAAGAAGATAAAAATAAAATGTAACATTTTTGAATTTCAAATAAAAGGAGAAAATGACTCTGTTATTGTATATCTTTAAGCTAGCAAAGTCAGGCGGGATTCTGTGGTGGCCGTCGCGTCAAATCTAAGGCGCCGTACAGCGACGATATCACTTGGGAGAGGGCTCGAAAAAGAGTTCCATACCACAAGATTTCAAAGAATCCATCGAAACTGGCCTGAGAGTCATTTATGTCACGTTGTATTCGTCCATCCCCAACACCGCGGATTAACTGAAGTCCTAGGACAGAGGTGCTTAGGAAAAACAGGATCTATTAAAAGACACTTCTAACCACATTTTTAGATACACTGATTCCCTCGTAGTAACCACTTATGCAACCGATACAGCGATCAGCGTCTTTTAACCTTTTCACTCAAATATTTTTTATTATCATTCATTTGTGCCACACTAAGAGATTATATCTGTAAACATGCAAACTATCAGGGCTACAAAGGACTCGGTTTCCTTCTTCTGAGATAATCCACCCGATAGATCTTGAATAGCCAAATCCTGAAGATGTTATCGATAATTTCGGACTTTAGAGAAGATAGAAGAAATTCTTAATTTTTTTGAAGTGAAAATATGTTTACAGCTAAATATCGACGAGAAAACCACAACATCTTCTGGAGCTTAAATGCTAGGTTGGGTTCAAGCAGTTACAGGCTAGTATTTGCCGTGCTTAGACTGGTTGCAAACAAACATTGTCACGACGGGGTTCATTTGTGGAATCATTGGGACGATAGATCAAATGAATTACTCTTTCTTCTTTCGTCAACAAAGCAAAGTGCACCGTGTAGCATAAATGAACTTTGACTTTACCACATAATCTGACAGAGTATCAATTTAATGTTGGTTTTACAGTTTTTAACCGAGGCACCGTATTAAATAAAGACGGCTCGAACTGTCGTGTGTCAGGACTATGCTGTTGAAATGCTTAAATGGCAGCTTTATTGTACATGCGAATAAGAAAGTTGTTGAGCTATATCCACGATTAATTTTCTCGAAGCGATGCTTTAACGATGTTGAAAAATTGTTGTATCTTGTTCAGTTCATGACTTGAAGGTAACGGATTTGATACAACTTTTTCGCAAAACATTCTCCATGCAAGAGGTCAAAATAGTCCGTGCGAGTTTAAATTTGACTAGTGTTTTAGGTCACGTTTCTTGAATGGCGATGAAATGCGAAACAAAGCTGTCTATAGTAAATTTTTTGAATCATTTCCTGGGTTTTAATTCCCAAAAGCAATCAAAGTAGAAACTGTAAAAGAATATTTGCAAATGATATTTGCAAATTGTCACCAGCACTGGAGGAAAAAGCCATTATCCTTGACCCAAAGAAAAAATCTGGCATTTCGAGATCATTGCAGTTACGTTGCCAGCTTTGACAATATGAGGTTTTCCCCGAAGATGTCATTGCCTAAACCATAGAACCATTTTGAGGCAAGCCAAGGGCAACAGTCAAACCCCTTATTATATCAAAGGCAAGTGTGGATGTGGTTCGTGTTATGTTTCTAGATTTACACTGCTATTTCTCCTTTTCGGGTCAATGAACTTTGCGCTAAGCAAAGGGCAGCTTTTGGGGATAATTATGTTGTGTGATGTTGGACAAACGGTGAACGAAAGGTGGATTTCTGCTACAGAACGTAGCGATGTTTGCTGCCTTAAGTGCGATAAAGCGTTTCAGGATCAAAACACATCTATTTGTGGACGTTGAAACAACACTATCTCGGGAAAAAAAAACAGCAATGATTTATTATCTTGTGTTGTTTTTGCTTATCCAAAACAGCTTTACTCGGCTTGCTCCCTATCTAATCAATTCTAATTCGATATCATTAGCAAACAAGTTTGGATTAAAAAGACTTAAGAGCTTGAATTTCGAGTTATTTAAGACACAGGGATTGAATTTTTCATTCGAACAAAGATAGTGAAGCATTTACAAGGTACACGATATCCTCGAATGACGCTGGTTGTTGAATGAGAAAAACAACCTTCATTATCTTCTACAACGCTCAAAAGTTTTTTGACAACTCCTAACACTGTTTGCGATTTTAAGACCGTATTAGATTAGATTTTTCTCTTATATCACATCAAAATTCACCACAAATGAAGTATTTCAGCCCACACAATTCTATTGACAGAAGAAGTGTCATTGTGGCAATCACAACATAACATATCAAGAAGTCACGTTTGCTAAATAAATTTGGTACTGTTAACGAAAAATTATTGAGCTATGACTTGTAAAAACCAGAGGAAATTATCAATTTTGGCTTACCGTAAGCGATTAGAGAGCAAAACGTTGACATCAAACAAAGTACTTTGAAACCAAAAGCACCCATTTTCTTCTTTTGATAGTAAATCTAGAATGACGAGTTGTTTGCTGTTCCTGGTCCGTATAGCGACATGTGCAACTGTCAAACTTTGATTGACAAGGGCTGTTTAAGTACGTACTAACGGAGCGGAAGAGTCATGTCACGCAGGAGTGCAAACACTTCGTTTAGGGGCTTAACGAATCTATCAATGAACTGCTTGAGAGCGGGGGGCGTTTGCCGAACGTCAAGTCATGCAGCGTGAGCCTAGCAACGTAAGATCCGGGAGAGGAAAGGTGTGCTATCATCTCCATTGCATTCCTCACGATATACGCTCCTTTTTTTAACAACAGTCTGGCTGCTTTTATTTTTTTCGAAAACTTTAGTTTTGATTGTTCTTAATTTTTTACCGTATTATGAAAGTGTAAGCATTGCAATAACTAGCTAGTGTGCTCCGCGGTGTGCTCTAGGGCCCTCTAGTGGATGTTCAGGTCCTCCTTGGCCAACAAAGTGGTTGATATATCCATTTTTTGTCAACAAGTTTGAAAATTCGCCGAAAAAGCACCTTATCTTTGTTTTTGAGATGAAATCTTGACGAGGGTTTCACAAAATCTTTGTTCTTTATTTGTTCTTAGCTTTTGACGAATTTTGAGCTTCGTGTTCTTATAAAATTATGCTTATAAGAAATAGTGTAGATGTTCTGAACAGAACAAGTTACGAACAGAACAAATGTCCTGGCCAAAATGCAAACTTTGAAGGTCATATCACTGAGAGCACAATGGTATTCCTCTACACAAAGAATGAATTGAGACCACTTTACTACTGCCCTTCCAAAGTCTGTAGTTTAAAGAAAAAACTTTTTAGAGGAGGCATTAATATATTCCGCTTTAATCTTTATATAAGGCATCTGACATCGAGAATCTAAAAGAGATCTATTATATGAATTCTGTTTCTGGACATATTTGTGGCCATACCCTTTGGAGGATTGTACTCCCAAAATACCTCCGAGTGTTAGCTGCAGGGCCCACGCCATCAGGGGCCGGGGCGGGCATTGCCCCCCATTTTTTGTGAAGCAGGTAATTTCAAAGCCCCAATAAAAGGTGATAGAAGCCTAAGCCACCGGCCACAACCTTTGTTCGCCTCCCTCATTTTTCAAATTTGTTGCCTGGGCTCTGTGCCTGGGCCCTGAGCCTGCAGTAACTCAAGCGATTAAGCTCTCAAACCCCATCCTCTAATTCAACTCTGTCCCGTCCACCAACTTTAATGTAATGAATAAACTATGAAATCATCCGTTTTATGATCAAGTGGTCGCAAGAACATGGTGCTGACCGTAAACAAAACATTAAGCATTTAACCAATAAACACTTGTTGAGATTGATTAAAAGTTACTGTGTTCTTTCAGATAATATACAGTTGAATCCCCTGAAGTTGTACCCTAGATATCTTAGACTCATGCTGATTTTCAATTCCCATTGGAGATTCCTCCTTAAACCCCCCCCCAACGCCCAACCCCTTTGAAGGTCAGACTTAGTGGGATTCATCTGTAGTTCAGTTTTGTCGATGTTGAAGATACGGTGACCTTATTAGTGGTATGTTCCAAGGAGGGTATAGCTTGATGTAAGCCAACAAAGGTACAGATTGGTCTTAACCAATCAAATCAAAGAACTTCTGTTGTCATGTCAGCATTTAATCAGCACTTTAAACGATTGTAAATGTAACTGCAATCTATATAGCCACCCTAGAAAACAAGCAAATATTTTTTCTGATAATAACCACAAATGTGAGCGTAGTATGAATTCCGAGTAAATTGAATTTCAGCTACTTGACACTTTTGGTGTTCAATGGAATCTAATCCACTGCAAATATGTTGACTTGGTTTGCAAAGCAAAGTTTGATGTAAGTATTTTTTTCAATTAGTGAAATGTTTGCTTGTTCTACGAATTTATTATCAGCTGCTTTTAAGGCATTGTTCCTTCTTATGGCTTGCACTTTAAAATGAAGAACAGTTGAAATGTCGAGAATTTTCTTTTGAACTTTGATCTAAGAGATTAACTGTGGCCTAAGAATATTTGAAGAGCCACTGGTGAAAAAGATCCTTGGCATGCCAAAAATAGGCGCACGTGCAAGTTTATTGTGGCCTGGGGCACTAACAAACAGGAACCGAGATTGCAAAAACACATAATTTTGTCTCTAAAGGCACTTTTTTTCTAGCAGCCAATACAAACAGATTAAAAAGCTTTCAAGTTCAGAAGATTGTCCAAGTCAACCTCTACTTCTTGTGTGAATGTAGTATTCAAAACGTCATTTGGGCCTGTCTAGAAAGAGGCAATGGAGGTGTCCTAGGCCCCTGAGAAAGAAGGGTTCATGTTATTGGGTTGAAAAATCCGCAAAACCGTGTAAAAATCGGCCGAAAGTCGCAACCTCAAGTGCATGAAAGTCCCAAGGCGGAAAACTATTGCCAATATATAGGCCACACGTAGTGGAGCCGCGAACCTATTATATGTCCCAAAGAAGGACACTTTAGTAAAGGTATAAAATTAAAAGTTAAAATAGAAGTAAAAGTCGCTTAAATTTATATTTTGACTAACATTATTTTATTTAAGACCTAGCTCAAAAATAAGAACCCTTTTCTCAAATCTCTCTTTAATCAATAAACGAAATCACATTATACCCCTCTCTGTGGTGGCACCTAGTCCCTCGCTCCCACCATTGATTGCGAAGACGGAATCAATTCTTGACATTCTTCGTACACACCCTTGGTTTACTTACATCAGATAAAAAATATGTTGAACTTAATGCATTGCATAAATTCTTTTGATATCATTCAAACGCACGTAGTTCTTATATTCCAGTTTATCTCCGTTGCATTCAAGTCGATCATGATGGAGATCTCTGCCATAAACACAAAAAAGGAATTGAAGAGTTAAATAAGATGTTATATTTCCATCCATCGTGCCTCAACCACAACTAATACTAATCAATGAGATATCGATGCTGGCCAAGTGTCATCTGGTGAAATAATAACTTGCGTTCTAAAAGTAGCATCTTGTGGTCCTGTAGTAAGGCGCCTTATAAAGCAAACAAACTTGTAAGCTTAGTTCCTTTTATAAAATCTTCATTCATAATAGCCGGCTAAGGGAAGGTCAGATCAAGGGTAGAAAGGGCATCAAACAAGGGGGACTGGAGCACAGCAAGATATAACATGTAACTGAGGCGGCAATAATACGATCTACAAGATTTGGCTTTGATCAACTGTGTCCAAATTCATTAACTTGCAGCCAATTTGCTAATTTATTAGAATAACGTGTATGATAAAGTTGCATTATACATCAAGCGTTTAGAGTTTCCCAGATATCAGCTAGCCAAATAACTCTAGACTTGAAGTAGTTCTTTTGCCATTTGTAATAGCAAATATAAAGATTTACCAGTTGGCGCTCATCTTTTGTTATGAGCACCCATTAAGGATCTTACATTATCTTTTTCAAGTCATCGCCATTCCAAAGTTTCTCGTCTTCTTTTGCTGCCTACAAAAAGAGCGCGATTTATTTGCAATCCGCATGTCCACACGCGTCCTCGACTTCTACGGTTGCCGTATCTTTGAGAGGAGTGATATGGACTTGATTAGCTATTCTACAATTAAATAATGCATAAAGAATAATGAACTTTGTACCAATTTACTACTTTATTTTTATTTCGATATATAAAGGCAATAAACTCTGAAAGTGCCTCTAACAATTATATTCGATTCTTTATATTATTTTTTTTACATTAAAGAACATATCATTTGTTTTGAATGGGTAACATATAGCGAACTGTATCAATAAAGACTTTTCTTTTTACTTGCACCGGGCATCGCTTCTTTTCTTACCATGAAATTTTGGAAAGCAAACTAAATTAAAACAATTCCTTGAAAATGCTGGAAAGAAACAGCTAGAGCATTAATTTTGAATGCTGTCAGTGCGACATAGACATGTCTGTATGGGCATTGTCAGATATGAAGACATTCTTTGGTTCCATTTTTGTGAAAACCTTTTAAAGTGCCTCTATCTATCATGAAAAATATCAACCTACATGAAACAAGCTTCTCATTACGTCACAATCACTCCCTTTAGTATAAATCTAGATTTTCTAAATGGAATTTTTAAGGTCATTGGCAGCTAGAACCAAGAACAAAGGAGATATATTTTGGAGCACTTTCTCCACAGCGACATCCTAGGCCTAAATCCAAACTGATCTCAGTGCAATTATGCGATGGTCTATGTCCTGGTTTTCAAGATAAGCCCATTGACAACATAAAGTAGCGAATGCTAATTAAAGAATGATAAGACTGTACGAAAATAGAACATATACGGAGGTTAAACTGAGCTGTTTCGTTGCTACGTGCATAAGAAAAGAAGCTGACCACAAGATTTAGAACCGGTAGGACACTCCATATTAATGGGAAAAATAAATTGAGATCGACTTGATGAGATAAAAAGGACTGGTGACTAGACTTAGAACGGCAACCTTAAAACCTATGAGCATTTTTCATTAGGTGTGAGCACGAATACTGGTGTTATTAAAAGTAACAGTCAACTGAGGCTGTTCTTAATATTTCCAAAACTTCAAAACTGTAAATGATGTGCTCTTGCAGATATACACGTTACAATGTTTGTGAAAACAATGCTCTTACATTGGTCGAAACATTTGACTCAATTCATTCACCGTGCTAAGAAACAACTTTTTCTTATAATAAAACAATGAAGTTGAAAAGATAGGCTAATCTTTCAAAAATAAACAAACATATTGGATCATATGTTTGTGACATGTCAAATGAATTGAAAATTGCACGTTCGGGAAAGTCTAATGATCCATGGATTCGAAACGAAGGCGTTTCTGTAAAAAAAGTGGGTTGTCTCAAATGTGTGTTTGGGGATTTGTCTATTGACCCCTACTCTACAGCTGTGGTCGCTGCTACTGTGAAGGAAAGACACGAAATAAAGCAAATTTAATTTTTCAATAGCAATATAAGCCTAGAAGCTTAATTTCCTTATAACTAGTGAAAGCTGTGAGGTCATTAAGACTCCTGGAAAGCTGACACAAAATTGAGAAAAAGACAAAATAAAGTCAAATGTGACAATCT